TAAATCAATGCACTCCTCGAGCGGAAGACAGGAATTTATTTTTTTCCCAAATCCACTTTATCAAATCTTATCCTCCGCCTTCAAGTGCCCCCCCCCAATGTCCCCGCGAAGGATACGTACTTAATTTTGTTGCGCCGCGCCTGGAATATTGCCACACATCTAACTGTTCTCCTGCCCCGTCAGATGTCCCTGGTACCGGTACACCGTATTCCCCTTCCCTTACCTGGCATGCCGTCACCACCACCCTTACTTCGGCCTCCCGACTGCGCTCTGGTGACCCCACCCTTCCGCACCGCGGGGACGGCCCCTTTTTTCCTTGATCATGACTCTAAAATGACTTTTGCAATTTAAAAAGTGTGGTGTTTATTGACTCACCGCCCGAACCCCCGTCTGCGCTGTCCTTCCATCCACCTTGCCAGGCTCTGAAGTATCCGGTGGATGCCGACTCCTGTCCACACTGGTCCTGCCTCAAGCCCGTAGAAGTAACACTCTTCGACCTGCTCCTCCATCCCTCATCCGACCTCCCGCTGCTGCTGTGCCTGTCATTGTCGTTGCACTGCTCCCTCCCGTACTCACACCTGCTGATGCTCCTCCTGTGTTCCTGCTCTTGAGAACGCCCCCCAGGGGGCTCCCGCTTGCCTATGTGCCTTACGTCCATGTCCTCTTTTCTGCCCTCTGCTTGCAGTACCCTCCATAGCTGCTCTGCTGCGCCTGTGAAGACTCCGCCTGCTGCTTTCACTATCCCCTTCCTTCACCTCTGACCTGACCCTATCCAGGGCCGCCTCTGTCTGTGTCCTGCCGACCTGGACCCCCCCCGCCTGCCCATTGGGGGGCGGGGGACCGCTTTTACACTGCTGGGCCCTTGCATCATTCCCCCCGTCCCTCAGGTATGCCACCAGGGGCAGACTCACCAGGACGCCTCTTGCCACTCTCCCTGCCTGGCGGCCATCATGTCATGCTGGATTCCTCTGTCCTTTGTGCTTTCCCGCCCCCCCCGCCTTATTGCAGGGGGCGCTCTTCCTGTGCGGCCTCATCCTGACCTGCCATCTTGCCTGACCGGCGCCGCGTCGAACATACGGCGCCAGCCGTCCTCCAACTCCTGCCTGCTTTCCGACCTCATTTTCAGCCTTCCCCTTGCCGCCTCCTGACAGGCTCACGGGCTGCCGAACTAACGATGTCACTCATAGGCTGCCGCTGGGGCGTCCTCGCTCTCCATGCTGGCCTCTGTTCCACCGCCGCCTGGGGGGGTGGGGGGGTAGCAGACGTGCTTGGGGCCCCCCAGCTGCTCCTGCAGCCACCAGCCACGATTCTGCCACAACCTTTGTGACCAGGATGGTGGCTTGCTTGGAGTTCTGTCTGAGGCTGATGGGAGTGAGCATGCAGCAGCAGCAGCAGCTCACTCCAGCCTCTCCTGTACCTCCATGCTGTCTCCTGTACCTCCATGCTGCCTCTGTTCTTCTATGCTGCCTCCATGCTGCTGATGGGAGTGATCATGTAGTAGCAGCTCACTCCAGCCTCTCCTGTATCTCCATGCTGCCTCCTGTCTCAGTACTGCCTGTTCTTCTATGCTGCCTCCATGCTGCCTCCTGTCTCAGTACTGCCTGTTCTCCATGCTGCCTGTTCTTCATGCTGCCTTTATGCTGCCTGTTCTGCTATGCTGCCTCCATGCTGCTGCCTTCTCCCTCCAGGGCAGGCAGCTTTCACAACTGACAGGTAAGCTTAGGTTCAGTTAAAATGGCCACTTCATATAATGGCTGGTATAAATACTCCCCTTATGGCTCCGCCCTACCCAGCATGCTAGCTGTCACTAAATTCCTGTGGCTGCTATGCCTACCTCCTGGCTCTGTCAAGGCCTATTCCTCTTAGCTGCGTTGATCAGGGGCGTATTAGCCGCGAGGCAAACAAGGCATTTGCCTTGGGCGGCATTTTTCAGGGGGCGGCAAAAAAGCCGCCCCCAAATGCCCAGAGCAAATGACTTGTTAGCCTTGCGGCTAACAGACATGCCGGGCTGGGCGGCGCTGGGCTGGGCGGCCGGCGAGGGAGCTCTTTGCCTGAGCGCTCTGCTCAGCTCCCTCGCGCGCCGCCAGCAGAGTGAGGTTGGGAGCCGGAATATGACGTCATCAACCCGGCTCCCAGCCTCAATCTGCTGGCGGCACGCGAGGGAGCTGAGCAGAGCCCTCAGGGGAAGAGCTCCCTCGCCGGCCGCCCACCCAGCGCCGCCAGCCCGCCCTGCAGCCACTGGACCCCAGGACCCCAGGGAGAGGAAGAACACCCCCGGCATTCCCAAAGGTAAGGAGGCTGGGGGGGGTTAAATAAAATAAAATAAAAAAACACAAGTAAGTGTGTTAGTGTGTGTGTATCTGTTAGTGTGTGTGTGTGTGTGTGTCTGTTAGTGTTAGTGTGTGTATGTTAGTGTGTGTGAGTCTGTTAGTGTGTGTGAGTCTGTTAGTGTGTGTCTGTTAGTGTGTGTATGTGGATGTTAGTGTGTGTGAGTCTGTTAGTGTGTGTGTGAGTCTGTTAGTGTGTGTATGTGGATGTTAGTGTGTGTATGTGGATGTTAGTGTGTGTGTGTGTGTGTGTGTCTGTTAGTGTGTGTGTATGTCTGTTAGTGTGTGTGTCTGTTAGTGTGTGTCTGTTAGTGTGTGTGTGTCTGTGTGTTAGTGTGTGTGTCTGTGTGTTTGCCTGTTAGTGTGTGTCTGTTAGTGTGTGTGTCTGTTAGTGTGTGTGTGTCTGTTAGTGTGTGTGTGTTTGCCTGTGAGTGAGTGTGTCTGTTAGTGAGTGAGTGAGTGTGTGTCTGTTAGTGAGTGTGTGTTTCTGTTAGCTAGTGAATGCGTATCTGTCAGTGAATGTGTGTGTGTGTATTTAAAAGGCGGAGCAGGGGGGAAGGGTTGGGTGGCTGTTGCGCGGGTGGGGGTAGCGCGGGGGGGAGGTGCCTGAGTTTTGTCCTGCCTAGGGCAGCACAAAACCAGGATACACCACTGGCGCTGATCCATGGGCTACAATCTTAGAATTATAAATAAAACATTTTTTTTTAACCCCTTAAGGGCGGAGCCAAATGTACACGTTGTGAACAAAACAAAATGTAAACAAAACCTGGCATTTGCGCCACATGTCTGTCCAACTGTAATTCACTTCTTTTATAGTAAATGCACCCACCCTTATTATATATCATTTTATTCAGGGGAAACAGGGCTTTCATTTAATATCAAATATTTAGCTATGAAACATAATTTAATATGAAAAAAATGGGAGAAAATATGATTTTTTTTTATCTACATGACATTTTAACGGTCAATGTCATAATACTGTTTGCTTTTACTGCAATAAAATACACATATTTGTATTCAGTAAAGTCTCACGTGTAAGACAGTACCCGCTATGTACAGGTTTTATGGCGTTTTGGGAAGTTACAGGGTCAAATATAGCACGTTACATTTGAAATTGAAATTCGCCAGATTGGTTACGTTGCCTTTGAGACTGTATAGTAGCCCGGGAATGAAATTTACACCCATGATGGCATACCATTTGCAATAGTAGACAACCCAAGGTATTGCAAATGGGGTATGTCCAGTCTTTTTTAGTAGCCATTTGGTCACAAACACTGGCAAAAGTTAGCGTTAGTATTTGTTTGTGTGTGAAAAATGCAAAAAACGCCAATTTTGGCCAGTGTTTGTGACTAAGTGGCTACTAAAAAAGACTGGACATACCCCGTTTGCAATACCTTGGGTTGTCTACTATTGCAAATGGTATGCCATCATAGGGGTAATTTTCATTCTTGGGCTTCCATAGGGTCTCAAAGGCACCGTAACCAATCTGGCGAATTTTAATGTGAAAAAAATGAAACGCAAGCCTTATATTTGACGCTGTAACTTTTGAAAACACCATAAAACCTGTACATGAGGGGTACTGTTGTACTCGGGAGACTTAGCTGAACACAAATATATGTGTTTCAAAACAGTAAAAAGTATCACAGCAATAATATCGTCCGTGTAAGTGCTGTTTGTGCATGAAAAAGGCAAAAAACGTCACTTTTACTGGCGATATCATCGTTGTAATACATTTTACTGTTTTGAAACACTAATATTTGTGTTCAGCGAAGTCTCCCGAGTAGAACAGTTCCCCCCATTTCGGCATGGGTTGTCAGGCAGGTCCTGCTAATTGTAATTAATTAAGATACCCAATTATGTAGAAATATTACATAAATATATATGTAGAATTATATGTGTATATATATATATATACGTATGTGAATATATATGTATATATATATAATTTTTAAAAAATATTTTTTATTTATATATAGGTATATATATAATTATTATATCATTATATATTTATGTATATAGATATATATATTATTTAGTTCTCGTGTATTTTTGATATAAATATATATATATATATATATATATATATATTAATATCACAATACAGTTAGAACGAAATAACACACATCTATATATTTTTTAATTATTTTTTTAAATTATTTTTTTATTTTATTTTTTAACGTATTTACATATTTCATTTTTTTACATTATATATAAATATATATAACAATAATTATATGTATATATTTAATCAGTATCAGTCTACGTGCAATTTGATATTAATATATATATATATAATTATATATATATTAATAGTAAAATACACCTAGACAGTGTATGTGTGTGTATGTATATGTGTATATATATACTTAGATCATATATATATATATAACATATATATATAATCTAAGTATATATATATATATATTTTTTACACTTTTATTTTCAGCCAGCAGGGGGACCATCTGTCATTACAGGCAGCCCCCCTGCTGGCAATGCAGGAGGCAGCCTACCCGGCCATGTGATTGTGAGGTCCTCGCAAGGACCTCACTCTCACATGGCCGGAGTGCACCGGAGGAGGAGGATCTGCCGCGGCGGGGCTCCCTGGGAGGCAATTGTACCAGTTCTGATCAAAACAAAATCTGCAATTTGCACTATATGGTAGGAGCAGAAAAAATGGGGGATGGGTCTGCGCCGATGTGTACACTGAGTGTTAAGTCCGATGTATATTATCGTGTCCAAAGTTCTACTTTTGGTGGGGTTCAGAAGGTACGATATCGTGGAGAGTAGTCCAAATATAAGAAATAGAAGAGATCTTACTTACAATTGACAGAGCTTAACCCAGCTCTGGTGTGGATAGCTTGCAGCGGTATTATCCCCGCTTACAGGATATTCGGCAGGTCTCCTCTTCTTTGTGGTAACAGGTGGCCGAAGTTGGGGAAGATAAAATGAAGACAGTAATGGTGCAGTATGTTCTACACTGATAAAAAATAATAAAATATGGTAGATACACTCACATTCTGTAGAGCTTAGGCTAGCTCTAGTTGGTTAGGCGTACAGCGGTATCATCCCCGCTTATGGGATATATGAGGAGTGATCTTGATCGGAATGTCAGGAGCTCGAAGAGAAGGTAAAACAGCGATAGTGCTCTCAATAAAATCTTAAATGGTAAAATAAAATAATAAAATATACTCACAGTGTATAGGGCAGACTAACTGCTCTATGTAACAGCGTAGGTGGTATAATCCCCACCTGGGATTCTTGGAGTATGGTATACAGGACTTTAAAATAATAAAAAAAGATAAAATGTAAATAAAAAATAATAAATAATAAATAATAAATAAAAAGTTTATAAAATAGCCAGGTAATAGAAAAGATGATGGTATAAACGTAAAAATGACCAAAATCTTTTATTAACAATATATAAAATAGTAAAAAATATCCAAACGCGTTTCACCAATGTAAGGCTTTATCAATGGATAGCAAAGGTTCATCATCTTTTCTATTACCTGGCTATTTTATAAACTTTTTATTTATTATTTATTATTTTTTATTTACATTTTATCTTTTTTTATTATTTTAAAGTCCTGTATACCATACTCCAAGAATCCCAGGTGGGGATTATACCACCTACGCTGTTACATAGAGCAGTTAGTCTGCCCTATACACTGTGAGTATATTTTATTATTTTATTTTACCATTTAAGATTTTATTGAGAGCACTATCGCTGTTTTACCTTCTCTTCGAGCTCCTGACATTCCGATCAAGACCACTCCTCATATATCCCATAAGCGGGGATGATACCGCTGTACGCCTAACCAACTAGAGCTAGCCTAAGCTCTACCGAATGTGAGTGTATCTACCATATTTTATTATTTTTTATCAGTGTAGAACATACTGCACCATTACTGTCTTCATTTTATCTTCCCCAACTTCGGCCACCTGTTACCACAAAGAAGAGGAGACCTGCCGAATATCGTGTAAGCGGGGATAATACCGCTGCAAGCTATCCACACCAGAGCTGGGTTAAGCTCTGTCAATTGTAAGTAAGATCTCTTCTATTTCTTATATTTGGACTACTCTCCACGATATCGTACCTTCTGAACCCCACCAAAAGTAGAACTTTGGACACGATAATATACATCGGACTCAACACTCAGTGTACACATCGGCGCAGACCCATCCCCCATTTTTTCTGCTCCTATCATTTGTATTCCAAGGACACTAGAGGGAGTCCTTGTTTGGGACTGCTGCCTCTCTGACTAGCGCTGACTCAACCCCCCGTTTTGTTAATTTGCACTATATGTCTGTTGAACCGTAATACACCTCTATCATATTAAATGCACACACATATGATATATAATTTTATTCAGGGGAAATAGGGATTTCATGTCATGTCAAATATTTATATAAGAAACATAATTTAATATGAATATAATCTAAAACAGTTTACGAAATTAAGAAACTTTATTTTTTTTAGTTCTGCATGGCATTTTAACTGTTAATGTCATAATACTGTTAGCTTTTACTGCAATAAAATACACATATTTGTGTTCAGTGATGTCTCACGAGTACAACAGTACCATACAGGTTTTATGGGGTTTTGAAAAGTTACAGGGTCCAATACAAGGCTAGCCCATTTTAGTTTTTACACATTAAAATTTGCCAGCTTGGTTACGTTGCCTTTGAGACCGTATGGTAGCCCAGGAATGAAAATTGCCCCTATGATGGTATACCATTTGCAAAAGTACACAACCCAGGGTATTCAAAATGGCGTATGTGCAGTCTTTTTAGTAGCCACTTATTCACAAAAACTGGCCAAAGTTAGCGTTCATATTTATGTTTTGCATTTTTCACACATAAACTGTACTTTCATTGAAGATATCCTAGTCGTGATATGTTTTACTGTTTTGAAACACTCATATTTGAGTTTAGCGAAATCTCCTGAGTAAAACAGTTCCCCCATGTACAGGTTTTAGGGTGTATTGTAAAGTTACAAGGTTAAATATAGTTCTTGCAAATTAAATTCTCTGGACTTTATGCCTGGGTTGTCAGGCAGGTCCTTAAAATTATAATTACTAAAATAACATAATTATGTAAAAAGATTAACCTCTGACAGGGTCTCCCAGCATGGCACCATTGATTGGTGCTTGGCTTTCACAGATGCCCAACACCGATCACAGTATAATTGGCATTCTGGAGTTTCATCAATACAGGTAGATGTTTGCGTTGCTGGAAACAGCTAGCAGATGGCGGCAACATTCCACTCTCTACTAGGAAATCCATCTGCTGATATCGTTACTGATATTAGCAGAGGGTTTCCTTAAGATCACGGTTAAGGTTAGAGGTAGGGTTGGTTTAAGATGAATGTTAGAGTTTGTTGTATGTTTAGACAAATCTCTCTTTCTGCATATATTTTTTACCATTAATTGTTTCTTGGCGTTTTTAGCACAAGTAATGTTCATTACATAGTTACATTCACATAACACTGGTTGAAAATACAATATCAATTGTGTTACAATGTATAAACTGTTTAATAGGGTTTTGTAACATTTGTGCTACAACCAGATATCTATTATGTGGGCACATACATTTTATAAATGTCGTAGACATGAGTGTATAATTAGCAGTAAATAAGGTGGAAAGATGACTGAAAAATAACAGAAATCTTAGTAAGTAGATCATAATAAGAAAGTCAATATGCCACCTCAGTCATCCCTACGAGGACATACAGAGTCACGCCTTGCATGTGGTGCATACTACATTGCTCAGTACATTAGGGATGACATCATAACCCTTAGAGTACAGGAATCAGTGGCAGCAATGCGTATGAGCAGGGAATAATCTACAGTCAAAAGTATTTTAGCCGTGGCTGTATTGTTTTTTACATCTTTCTCAAATAGTCAGGAATAACTGTGTCTTTTTGCTAGAAGTTTGTGACATGCGCACGTAAACATAAAATAGTTGAATCTTGTCACAGATTTGTGAGAGAGAGGGGCACTCAATGGACTTCCAATTTGTTGCTATAAAATCGCGATCTTCTAATAGCGTAAGGGCAATGAGGTACCCTCCTCAGTAGCACATATCCAACATGTGGAGAAAGCCATTGGAAAGATCTTTTGTAATCTGTGAGGGGTCATATAGAAGTGTCCTATGTGCCTCAATATGTGAATAACATTTTGTGAATTTGGAGAGGTCCTTAAGGGCCAATAGCCAATCACCATTAGTCAAAGTCATGGTCTTTCTGCATATATTAGAATCAGCTAAGAATAACCAAACAAGACACTTGAGAACCACTGTCACACCACCTATGGAGTTATTGTTGACCTCCTAACAAAGTACTAGGAAACTTGAAGAAATTTCACAGGAGAGCACAGGCAATACCCATATGTGCTGCAGGCTGGAGTTCATGGGACACATACCAGGCGTAACAAGCAAGAAGCCCCACGGGCCAACCCTTTACCCTCTTCCTTGACACCTCTCATGTATCAGTATCTGAGTATGTTAAGGATGTCGATATGTATTCAATGTGTTACTTATTTTTCTGTGAAAACTTACAAAAACACTAGATCTGAAGAATTATGCATGTATGCACAGGGTTAGGGGTAGGGTTGGTGTAGCGTGGTGAGGGGGGAGTTGGTTAACTACCAAAAATTAATTTAGATCCTAGATATATAAGGCATTTGACAATCAGGACAGTAACATGAATCTATGTTGAGGTCTTTGTGTTTAGTTGCACTGGATGTTTAAATATTATTATAAAAAATATTAAAAACCCTTAAAGGGACACTATAGTCACCTGAACAACTTCAGCTTAATGAGGTTGTTCAGGTGAGAACTATAGCTCCCTGCAGCCTCTCATGTAAACACTGTATTTTCTGAGAAAATACAGTGTTTACCTTGAAAGCTAGGAACACCTCCAGTTGGAGTCACTCAGAGTGAACCATAATATGCCTCCATCCACTCAGATCTGCTGTCAGCAGAGCACAGGGCAGCACTGTGCACAGCATGCTGTGATTCAGTATCTCCTCCCTCTGCATGCAGACACTGAACTTTCCTCATAGAGATTCATTGATTCAATTCATCTCCATGAGGAGTAGACATGTGCAATTAGTTTCTGGCCGAATATGTATTCGGACTAATTTCTGGCAATTCGGACATTCGGGTACTTCCGAATGTCCGAATTGCCGAAGTGCCGAATTACCGAGGTTCCGAAATTACCGAATTTCCGAAGTGCCGAAGTTTTGCCTAAGTACTAATATACTTACCCAGTGGAAGAAGAAGAATGTTACAATGTATACAATTTTAAATAAAAAGTATACAAACATAGCCAGGATTCAGCAGTAAGCATTTGCAACACTTACAACAATCAAGTAACACACATTCATATAAAATGTAAGTTACTTAGCCTGTCAATGTAATGACAGGAATGAATAAGTAGATAACTCCCTAATTCCCATGGTATTAAGGAGCTATCTACTAAGGCTGAAAGACCTAAATTGGTCTTTCAGACAAATTTACTAATACTTAGTAAAAATTACTTAGTATTAGTAAATTATGCCCCTACTCACTATACCGCGAGTAGGGGCATGTCTATTAAACAGTTAGCAGCCTGTGGCTGCTCACTGTAAAAACAAACAAACAAACAAAAAAAACACGTCCCCTTCCCCCTCCTAACCTGAAGGGAGGACCTATTCTCCCCCCCGGCCCCCACCCCTGAACGGCGGGTGGGGGCCCTAAAGTAAAATAAGGGCGGGACCTATTGACCTCCCCCCCGCCACCACCCATGAGCGGAGGGTGGGGGCCCTAAAGTAAAGTAATGGGGTGGGGGCACCTATTGCCCTCCCCCCAGTCCCCACCCCTGAGCGGCGGGTGGGGGCCCTAAATCAGAATGTGGGTGGACCTAATGTCCTCCACCCTGGGAGCAGTGGGTGGGGGCCCTAAATACTATTTAGGGGGGGACCTGATGTCCTCCCCATTGGCCCCCACCCCGAGCGGTGGGTGGGGGCCCTAAATTAGAATGAGGGGGGAGCACCTAATGTCCTCCCCCCTGGCCCCCACCCCTGAGCGGTGGGTGGGGCCCTAAATACTAATTGGGGGGGACCTAATGTCCTACCCCCTGGCCCCCACCGCAGAGCGTCGGGTGGGGGCCCTAAATAAAACGGGACGGGGACCATTTAACTAAGTACCTGTAAAAAAAATTTAAATAAACTTACCATTTGATGTTTTCTTTCTTCTAAAATCTTCTTTTTCCAGCCCCCAAAAAGGCCAAATAAAAATCAATAATAACCGACACAATTTAAAAAAAAAATCCATCTTCACCCGGCGAGGGCTCCGCGCAGACTGAGCTCTGCAGGGCGGGGGAAGGCTTATAAAGCCTTGCCCCACCCTGCAATTAGACTCAGAGCACTCTGATTGGTGGGTTTAAGCCATCCAATCAGAGTGCTCTGACAGGTAAATGAAGAGACTGACAGGTAAGTCTCTACATTTACCTGTCACAGCACTCTGATTGGTTTGTTTGAAATCCACCAATCAGAGTGCTCTGTGTCATTATACACAGCGTGGGAAAGTTCTTTGGAATTTTCTATCAAGGTATGTGTGTGTCTCTCATGGTATGTGTGTGTGTCATGGTGTGTGTCTGTCATGGTATATGTGTGTGTCTGTGCCTGTCTTGGTGTATGTGTGTGTCTGTGTGTGTTTAGAAAGTGTTTTTACTCACCTTTTTTTCCCTACGCCGTGCTGCGGGGCTGGCATAGATTTTTTTCCAGGGCTGCTTTGCATCCCCAGTCCGGCCCTGGAGATGCTGATTGGCCAGGACTGTGTTTGAATCATGCTGGCTCTGCCCCTGATCTGCCTCTTTGTCAGTCTCAGCCAATCCTATGGGGAAGCATTGTGATTGGATCAGGCTACCACATATCAGCAGACTGCTTGTTTTTATGAGTCTAACAGCATGCAGATTTACAGCTTCAGGCTTGAATACAGTAAGATTTTTACTATATTTATGGAGGCATGAGGGGCCCAGGGGGGCTAGAGGGTGGTGTTAACACTATAGGGTCAGGAATACATGTTTTTGTTCCTGACCCTATAGTGATCCTTTAAATAATGGTTGAATACACAAATAGCACAAAATCTATGTTTTGTTTTGATTCAGAACTTGGCAGATTGCCTCATTCCTAAAGGTGTTATATAAACTTAGTTTTAAGTAGGTCACAATGAGTAGTAGCTGTTCCATAATTGAGTCCTTCTGAGATATTTTGTCTCATGGTGAATTTCCATTGACACGCACCCATGTGTCTGTCTGGGTTAATTACCAAAATCTGAATTATCGAAAACTAAAAGTAAATTCAAAGGGAATTTTCAAATTTAAGACTAAAAGTAGCCGTAGTGCAATATACACTTTCTATGTCAGCTCTTTTTGCTTTAAATTTCAGATTCTCATTATCTTTTTAGTGAAAAACCCTGATATGTCATAGCTGAGAGAAACAAACTAATTTTATAAAAAGTTTGAATCAGGAGATCTAAAGTGGCATCCATTAAAGTAATATTGGAAGGCAAATACTGAGTTCACAAATTTACATGTTTCCAATGTGCAGACATTGAATCATACCGATACCTTCACAAGCACAGCTTTACACGATAGCTTAAATTGAGATCCATTTATTGCTGACATCTTGTGTCCCAACCGAAAACCTCACAGAAAAAAAAAAAACGAACTTTTCTAGATATTTGTTATATTTCTTGTATACTTCTAATATGTTTAATTTTCAAGAAAACATCATATATTTTTTTTCCCCTTCATTCCTTGGGGTGACATTGTTATTTTTTTTTTTTTTTTATATATTTTCTGTATTTTATTGAGGCATATTAGATGGGATACAGAATAGAGAGAGGGAAATGTGCATTAGAATACAGTACAGGGCTCAATAACAGTGGTATCTAACATTTCCTTAATATTTGTACCTCTTTTTTATGTTTTATGATTTAACATTGCTTTTGTAAACAGGTTTAGGCAATATGCAATTTAAGTCGCTTAACATTGACTAGTTGTAACAAGTTAAGTGAACAAGTTTTGTATAGGGTGATTGCGTAAGCTCAGTAGTTCCCTGTTGTGTAAAATTAACTCAAATAATAAGAACACGCTAACATAATAAGCGATTAACTGCTTGCAAATACTGACGTGCCTATATCCCCGGGCACCCCCCACTACTATCTGCCATACGTGCAGTGGTATATGAGCAGACTGGCTAATGTCCAGGCTCCAACAAATAAATATCTATTTGAGCATATTCAAAATCAGGTTAGGGAGACATAGTAAATGAGGGAGAGCAGACTGCAGTGTGTGGGGGCCGTGTGACATATTAAGCATAGCACTAAATCATTACCAACAGCCGTCATACATGTAGGCGAAAGTTAAGCAGTGAATTCGAGTGAGGAGCAAAGGTTAAAGAGTTCTTTCAGTCCTCTTCATCCCATGCCTGTTCGTGGCCAGTTGTTGTCAGGAGAAGGAAGGCATGTGGAGTCAGTGCAGTGGTTGTGGGTGGAGGTCCCCCTCCAGCCCCAGGCCTTTATGGAGGGTGGCATCTTCGGACCTCTGACTCGAGGGCTCTGAGAGATCGAGGCATTCCCTTGTCGGGTGCAGGTGGAGCCGGTGTATCTTCGCCGCCTGCGGCGGGCAGTCCCCCTGCAGGGTGGTTGATGCTGCGGAGGTGGTTTCCTCACGGCCCTCGGCCTCGGCGGGCATTGTGCTTGCGTTGCTGGTTTGGGGTCAGTTGCTGTGCCCGGAGTGGGGCGCCTCTTCCCCTTAGTGTCTACTGTCTGCTTGTGCATGGGTGACATTGTTATTAATGTGTTTTTTTACGACCCAGTCATCCAGTACCTTTTAAATCGACTAATTTAACATTTGTTGCTTTCAGGATTTCCAGTCTGCCTTTTAACCCCTTCGTGACAACGGTTGTTTTATACCTTAAGGACACGAGCAATTTTTATAATTTTTCTTTGTCTTCTTTTCATTGGTGATTTCCCTCTTACTCATTTAGTACATTTCGATATTGAGGGTTTTTTGCACGTTTTTTTAAATTATACTTAGGGTTTTCTTTTCATACCACGCATAAATGTATAACTGCTCCTTTAACATGGAAAATAAGGGGAAAAGAGGACAATTTTAAAAATCAGCCTAATTTTTTTTTTACAGTGCATAAAAATGCATTCATCTGTTTGTCCTGAGGCTGAGCATACCTTATATATTTAGATTTGCCTCATATTTTTTGCAGACACACGTCATTAACCAAAAGCAGTTCATTTGTTTATTAAAACGAACAGGATTTTTCCCTAAAGTGAGAATTCAAAGTGAATTCACAGGGAATTCCAAAGGTAGTTGAACTGGAAGCATAGCTCACTTAGAGAATTTTTCCAATTTGGCTAATTTGACCTTGAATGTAAAATCTCTTTTAATTCACTTTGAATTCTTACTTTAGTGAAGAACTCTGTAAATATTTATTTCTATTTTTTTTTAATTTTGATATGTATGTATATCTGAGTAGTCACACATGGCCATACCATGTTTAAACCCACGACTGCTTCAAAGTACCCTGATATCAGTGGGACCAATGCTAATTTTAACATGGGAGGAAAAACATGCTTAAGGCAGAGCTTACTGCTTAACCCCTTAAGGACACATGACATGTGACATGTCATGATTCCCTTTTATTCCAGAAGTTTGGTCTTTAAGGGGTTTAACTGCTTTAAGAGAGAATTTATGCAATCCTGTGTTCACTTTCATATGGTGCAGTTACTTGATAAGGTGTGTGATTTTAAGGAGCCCTGTAAGATTTAAAACTCTATTTTGTGTGTGTACTTTTCTCTTAGTGTGTGTTTTGCATATATTTCGGTCTTCACGGGAGCATTACTATTATGAAATGCATATTCTAGGTGTGCCCCCAGGGCCATTTTAAACGTGGTGCCGTGTGGGCCCCGCTGCCTGAAAAACAATAATTTACCTGGGCTGTCTTAAACGCGGAGCAAACAGGGCAGCTGCCGTGTGGGCCCCGCTGCCCGCAAAACAATAATTGATCTGCCCCACAGGCCCACTGGTGCTGTGACTGCACCATGGTCCAACACATTAAGAGGGCCCATCGGGCGGCCCATGTATTTAGGGACACTAGGTGGGCCTTTCTCAGCAGGGGCCTGGTCGGCAGCCGTTTGGGGGGAAGTGACTGCCGTGAGTCACTTCCTCTCAGAGAGAGTGAAGCTGTGCGGGAAGGATGAGGAGGCTCTCAGGAGGGGGCACTGATCTGAAGTGCCAGAGCCTCTCACTCCCAACTACCTCAGCCTGCCACTGGACCCCAGGGAAGCCACCCTCCTGCACCAATAAGGTAGGCAACTGGAGGGTGGCTTTAACCCCTTAAGGACCAAACTTCTGGAATAAAAGGGAATCATGACATGTCAAACATGTCATGTGTCCTTAAGGGGTTAAAGGAGTAGTGTTTCAGTATGTCTGTCTGTGTGTCAGTATGTCTTTCTCTCTGTGTGTCAGTATGTCTGTCTGTGTGTTAGTATTTCTGTGTGTGTGTCAGTATGTCTGTCTGTGTGTGTCAGTATGTCTGTCAGTATGTCTGTCAGTGTGTGTATCAGTATGTCTGTCAATTGTGTCAGTATGTCTGTCAGTGCGTGTCTCACTATGTCTGTGTGTGTCAGTATGTCTGTCAGTGTAGATCTCTATGTTGTTAGTATGTTTATCTTTTTGTGTGTCAGTGTGTATATCTGTGTATCTGTACTTAGTCAGTGTATCTATGTGTCTATGTAGTCTGTGTAACCATGCAAGCATGGGAAAATGGTAGAGCCCCAGCTGACAAAGCATTGTTCGACTTGCACGACAGACGGGCATCTATCTTTTGGCAACCCTTGGGATTGGGGGGCCCCCCAAAAAATTTTGCACCTTGGCCCACTCTACTTTAGTCCCGCCACTGCGTTTGGGTGTGGAGAGCCTGATTGCTTATCAGGGAGGGGGAGGTGGTTGTCAGGGTCCAGGAAGCCCAGTCAAAGTGCCTCCAATTTAATTTATTCCTTAGGAAATTGAGTAAAAGGGGACATGAATTTGATTCACCTCCAAACATCCACCACACTCAGTATTGCCAATGAATCCCTCAATATCAAAGGGATCAAATATTAGTTAGGGAGACTCACTGACAAATGAAAGTGTCAATTGATTTTTTTCTGGTTTAAAGAGTGAGTTAACTCCAAGCTTCCTTCTCTTGATGACACTTACACTTGGGACCCTTAAAAATGAATGAACTATTTGGTCACTGACTAATACAGTAACTCAGTGGGTCATTCGTTTTATATGGGGCATGAGGGCACTTAAATGGAGCGGGATGATAAGGGGAGTGTGGAATATATGGACACTACAATTTAAGCCTACCTGCACAATGTTTCTAATGTCAGAATTTCCCAGCCTGCACTCATTTTCTGAGATTAATCCCACATTAGGGAATGCTGGTAAATATCTGATACTGATAGATTGCGGCCTGCATCTTTGCTGCAAACTCCGAACAGTTCGCTTGTAGCGGATGGCACTGTGGCTGTCCTTAAAAGACTATGAGAATCCTGCAATTCGTGTGTTAATTCTGTTTTGTAATTCCCTGTAACTAGCATTCGTATGTTTGTTCGGTAGTTTCCATGTGTATTTCATACGAATGGAAACTACCGAACTAATAGACCTCCCCAGAGTGAAGTGTGTTCCCAATTAAGTGTCGAACATGTGTTAACCGCAGACTAATAGGTGGTTTATTGCTGTATCTGGGTGGCCGCCATTCGGCATACGAACACGTGGCGGCGGCCATCTTACGCACGAAAGACTCAGCTGTGTTTGGTCGTCGAGTGTCTGGAACTCAAATCGGACACTCGATTACCCGAACACTGCTGACATCTCCAGAGCTCCATAACTCCCGAACGGGAAGACGAATCAGCCCCCCCGTTCGGTGAGTTTGGAGTACCGAACAAGGGCATTCAGGTGAATTACAGTTTAATCGTGGCTGGCATGTATTTCAATGTATTTTACCTCCCGAACGGAGACCGACCGCAGGGCCAAAACGCATGGAACCCATTTCAGATACCACCTCAAATTTCACCCTCCACCCTCCACCTAACTCCCGAACCCCTGGTCCGATCTGGGTGAATTTTGGATATGTTAGTCACCCAGGTCAGGGCTACCAGGGGGTACCCAAAGTATGGGTGTACCTGCTAATCTTGGGGTACATCCAGAACTTGGGGAAAACTGTAACCTGTATAATGGGATTAGGTGTCATACTAAGTGGAGGAGAGGTGTGGGAGGTAACTGCTATTTCATTGGGTACTGTATTAATGAATGTGAATCCCTCCCTTGCATGGGAGAAATGCTTAAAAGGAGGTTGTGTGGAATAAACATCAGTTCTGCTCCTGATGCTGTGTGTCGTCCAGTCATTGGGATCTGTATGGGGATATTCGTGGATTGCTTTGCTTATTGGAATTATTGCTTCATGGGATTTTTCATCACTTGTTCCTGAGCCTCACTGGGATCTTAGTGGAGTTAACCTGTGAAATACCAGGCCTCCGCTACATCGCTCGTGACTGTTTTTTGTGACTTTCCCGGCATGTCAATCATCGTAAACCCTGTAAGGTTAAAGAATATATTTTGCATTTCTTAAACAGGGTAGTTTACATATATTAAAAAGGTACGCCTAGTTATTTTTTCCTGTGTGTTTACTAAAGCTACTCAGGCGTAGTATATTACATTCTACAAATGAATTGTTGATTTATGCATAATTTTGTTTGCGTTTGGTAAGTACCTGGAGTGCACAGTAACAGTCTTGTCTGTATTATATTAATTCATACTGTAAATCATGTGAAAACTTGAGGCAGTTTTATTCAAAACAAAAGAACATTATTGATTAAATGGACACTCTAAGCACCAAAACCACTACATCCTAATATAGTGATTTTGGTGCACAGAGTCAGAGGTAGGCAACCTTTGGCACTCCAGATGTTGTGGACAACATCTCCCATAATGCTCTTATAGCCGTAGTGCTGGCAAAGCATCAGGGGAAATTTAGTCCACAACATCTGGAGTACCAAAGGTTTCCTACCCCAGGCCTGTCCTTGTAGTCTGACAAATATATGCATTGCTATGTCTCAGAATTGGCAGTGTATTCAAGTGACAGTCAGTATGCCTCTAGTGACTGTCATTTCCACACTAGAGGCCTTTCCTGTTGAAGACTTAATTGAAAGTCTTCTTGTTTGCATGATGACTCTGAACAGTGTAGATGTTTCTTTGGTTTACAGGTGAGTTTTACTTAGTGTTTAGACTCCCAAAGTGGGCATAATAAAAATGTTTGGATGACTTTAAATTAAACCTGGTTTAATATAAATGTATTTTCTTACAGGATACCGGGAGCCAGATTACTCATACCAGATAAACGTGCGGTACGCCACATTGGCCTGTCACCAGCTTGCCAACAGCCAATTTTTCGAGGGTCTTCTCAGTACAGTCAGAGGTCTTATCGATGGCCTGACCTGTGAGCTGACAAATTTTTATCATAGTTGTCACGCCATTAAAGAACCAGAAGAGAAGCTTCAAAACGAACTCTTCCTATCTTTCAGAGGTAATTGGTTTTATGAAACATACTACTTTAAAGCAGTTACACAAAGTTTATATATTAGTTTTAGCCCATTTCAACATATATTCATCAGTGTGGTCACACTGCTACTTTAGCCGCAACAAGTCCCCGGTTGGCACGAGCGCACATGAGCAGGGCGGTCAGCCGAGAAGGGACATGTATACTCACCTGGATTGCAGCGTATTGCCGCCTGATCCTCTAGTGAGATGAGTCCCGGCTGGTACGACATTCTAAGGGCCGCTGGCTGCTGTGGTCCCGTTCTTAATAGAAAAATACATAGTGCCCACGTTAAAGAAGGCCATGTACTTACAAATAACAGCAGTGAGAGACATAGTTAAACCCTGTAATGCTTTTCCTGTTGCCCTGTTGTGGTTTCCACTTGTTGGTTGTCAGAGAGCACGCGTAAGCCAATGTAAAAAAACAGAAAAAAAATTAACAAGAACGTTCTGGTTAATTTTTTTTCAGTTTTTTTTACATTGGCTTGTATTTTGACTTTCCCTACTTCTGGTATCTTGATCTTTAGCTAGTATTTTCATATTGTCTTATTCTGTATCATCGACCTCGGCTTGTTTATTGACCTTTCTCTAAGTCCAGCCAGTCTAAGGCCCGGTATACGTTGCTATTGTGTTATCATAGTTTTGCGTGTTGGGTCATACAGTAGTCGTGACAAAATGCAACTCTGTGTAAAATGTTCCATGCAGTGGGTTGAGTGACAGCCACTAGAAGTGTTAATAGTCATCAATGTAAACACTGCTTTTTCTATGAAAAGGCAATGTTTATATTAAAATGCCTTTAGGGACAGACATTAGATACCAGAACTACATTAAGCTTTAGTTGGTCTGGTGACTATAGAGTCCCTTTAAGATTAAAAGATATGCATGTTGGTATTCTAAGATGTATTTAAAAATGTCCACTGTACAGAGCATGTATAAATTACAGCTGTGTACTTCAAAGTAAATATTTTAAATGAAACTCATCTGCATTACGTGTAAGGCTACATATAAGCCTAACAGTATTACTTTTTATAGTATGTGTTCCTTCACTCCCCCACAGACTTTAACAGTTGGCCCATTTTAAGGAAATCCCCATCCAAACAATGTGGAGGTCTTACAATCTTCCCTAATTTAGAGATGTGCACTAAATATCCTATATCATCCTCCCACCCGTTACTCACAGCACTTGCCGTCTAGTCATTCCATTCCAAGCTGGAGCCGAAATTGATTGTAGTGCGTTGGATAGACATTGCATGAAACTTTGTAAAAAAAATGATTAAAAAGAAAACCAAACTAAAAAGATCACATTTGTCGTTTCTGCACTTTCTACAAGTCACAAGAATTTGTCGCTTCTGACAGCTCTGTCCAGACTATGAAGTAGATTGCACCTGATACCCAATCGTACCCTTTACAATTTTCTGAAAGACATTAAAGTTATTTTTGTTTTGTTTTTTACTTCTTATATCATAGGAATTATTTGATTGATTGTTTTATTTCTGTAAAAAGGAACAGAAAAGGAACTATAGGACTAGACACAAACGGTTATGGAGAATTAACTCTAAAGGGACACTATAGGCACCTAGACCACTTCAGCTCATCGAAGTGGTCTGTGTGCCATGTCCCTTTGGCACTTAATGCTGCAATGTAAAACAGAGAAACTGCAATTATTACATTGCAGCTCTAAGCAGGGGCGGATCCAGAGCCTAATCTTGGGAGGGGCATTCATAAATTATTTAAAGAAGCAATCCAGGCACAATAGCTACTATAGCTCTCTGTAGTGGTTATGGTGCTAGGAGCGCTGTGGTGCACTCCCAGAGTAAGTAGTCAAACCATTTAAGAATAGTTTGACGGGGGCGTGGCTAACCGCCGAGCAAGATGGCCGCTTGAAATTTTGCTGCGGCACATGGGCTCTAACAATAAGCATTTTTCTCAGACGATAACGAAAATTAAACACGGCCAGAGCAAGCATGTCGCAGGGCAAGCACAAGAAGAACACTTCCAAAGAAGCAAAACTCAAATTCTTCACGCAGAAACCCAGCCAAACGGCTCTGCACGTGCAGGCAGCAACCCGGGATGGCGGAGGCTCCTCGGATGAGAGCAGCTCATCCCCAGAGACAGGGGAACCAACCCTAAACACTGCCTTAACCAAGCGACACCTACAAGAAGCCATGGAGGCACTGTCAGCAAGACTGATTCAGTCATGGACCTCCAGTGTAGACACGCTCCGCAAAGACATCCTCGACCTGGGCGCAAGAACTACTCGCACTGAAACAAAAATGGCGGAATACGCCACAGCTCACAACGAGCTGGCAGAACAGGTCTCCCACTTACAGCACACCATCGAAACCATGGAAATAAAACTAATGGATGCCGAGGACAGATCAAGGCGGAACAACCTCCGCTTAAGGGGGATACCGGAGGCGTTCTCCAGGACGACTTACCCAGATACGTTCGAGACCTCTTCAATGTGATAGCACCGGACATCCCCTCCGATATGCTGCTTCTGGACCGCGTCCATAGGATCCCGAAACCAAAACACCTGCCACCATCCACACCAAGAGACGTGTTATTGCGCGCTCATTACTTCCATGTAAAAGAAATAATATTAAAATCTAGCCGCACAACACACCTACCAACTGAATTTGCAGGCATCAGGATCTTCGCGGACCTATCCCAAGCGACCCTGAAAAAAAGGAAAACGTTCCAGCAAGTGACAACAACTCTCAGGGACCACAACATCAGGTACCGATGGGGCTACCCCACAAAACTCCTTGTGTGGAGAAATGGCGAATTCAGCCCTCTGACCACGCCAGCGGATGGAATGAAGACGCTAAAAGCATGGGGCCTACAGCTTTCCCAAGCAAGACGCCAGCCACCTCTACCTGCATCTACCAAAGTAACCCAGGACTGGAAAAAAGCCTAAGGACTGGGACTGGGCGCTGCCTTCTCTCCATTCCCGATATCTCTTAATCAGGTTGCCAGACACGTAAGTATTGCAACCACAGCATCCCACCAACCCACCTATACCCACAACTTCTATTCCCCACGCCAGCCTACCAAACAACACCTATGCCACATGCAACACATCATGACCATCAATCCCACAGGCCACCTGGCCGAACGGGAGAGAGAGGCCACAATATATGGGGACAACCTCGAACTGCAGAGGGGACATAGGGACACGACAATAGAGGCACGAGATGACAAAAGGTCACGAAGCCTTTGTGACAAAAAAAAAAACTCGGCTCACCTTATGCACACGCAGAGAGGGTGGGGAGAGGCGGAGCTCATCTGCCCATGGTTTTTATGCATGTATCATTTGTACTGATCATAACAAACATGTTGGTATCTCTTTTATTTCTCCTGTTCTAATAATGTCTAATAATGTTTAATGTTAAACGTTACAAAACTGTTATGACTTCCCAAACCACACAACAAGCTACCACGAGCCCAGGTAGCCACGAGTACCGTATGGACAATACGGATAACCCCAAGGTGCACCCAAACTGCACCACTCCCCCTTGGCGGGGAACTTTGTATATAACCTCCCACCCCCCCTCCCAGTTTCCTATGTCACCCGCACCCGTGTCCATCAAACCTCACCCCCTAACCTGTGAGAGTACAAAGTCAGAATCTATCCTAATCACCACCTCCAAAAACAAGATCATACCCCTCAACCTCAGAGCCAATGGGAAAGTAGGCCTCAAACACGCATACAAATGGCAGTGAAACACCTATCCCAGGTGCAGCCCCCCCCCCAAACATGAAAATCTATTCCCACAATACAAGGGGCCTCAACACTCCACACAGGCGTAACAAACTACTGGAAGATCTCAAACGGGTCAAAGCAGATCTAGTATGTATACAAGAGACGCACTTTGTAAAACTCCGCATCCCCAAATTTGGCCTTGCCGAGTACCCCATACAATTCCACGCCGCACACACCTCCAAAGCCAGAGGAGTCTCCCTGCTTATCCACAAATCCCTCTCCTTTGAGCTGCTCAAGCTGATCACGGATGGCCAGGGAAGGTTTCTCATAGCCCTATCAATGATGTTAAGTACACAATAGTGAACATATATAGCCCCAACACACAACAAAGAAATTTCCTCCACAAAGTCCTCTCAAAACTCGAACCCATCAAAACTGAAAATACAATGGTCTGCGGAGACTTAAACCACATTTTAGACCACACCTTAGACACGTCATTGCTTACTTCACAATCCCGCACACATCACCTCAAACCACAATGCCAATCTATGACAAAACTAATAATGGAGTTTAACCTCTACGACACATGGAGGGCCCTACACCCAACAGAGCGTCAGTACTCCCACCATTCCCAAGTCCACAAAACACACTCAAGAATAGATCACATTCTCTCCACCGGACCACTCCTCCGGAAAGTACTACACTGTGAAATAGGAGACATAGTATGGTCGGACCATGCGCCCAACGTCATGTCCATAGCAACACAGTTTACATCCAGAGGGTATGCCCCCTGGAGATTGAACGAATCCCTGCTGCACGATGATACCTTCCACAATATCATCCAAAAAGAGCTCACAGAATATTTCTCCACAAATAATGACAATGTAACCTCACCCATAATGATTTGGCAAGCTCACAAATCAGTCATGCGAGGGCTCCTCTTAAGCCGCGCATCGTTCCTTAAAAAGCAAGCACAAAAAGAACAAATTACGATCCTAAGAGACCTTAGAGACGCCACAGCACAACACTATATACAACCTACGGATACCCTGATGAAACAAATTGAGAATCTGACAGATCAACTGAACACTATCGCAATGACAAAAACGTCGTACATGATGCACAAACTCAAAACACGAAACTACACCCAGAACAACAAAACAGGCAAACTACTTGCCACACAACTAAGACTCAAATACGCCCAAAATAAGATCCCATACATCTTAACCACAGAGGGGGAAAAATTGTACAACCCACAGAACATAGTGGATGAACTAGCCAAATACTACACCACACTCCACAATCTAAAAACAGACGCACAAACACACCAACCCACTACACCTGAGATCCAATCCCTCCTAGCAAAGGTATCCCTACCGCAAATTCCCCAGAACCATATGGAAACCCTGAAAACCCCGATTTCAGAACAAGAAATCATCCAAACAATAATGTCACTTCCCCCGGGTAAATCACCAGGCCCAGATGGTTTCCCAAACTTTTACTATAAAACATACGCGCACACTTTAGCACCACAACTACTCCAAACATACAATACGATGATCGCACAGGGGACAATGCCAGCAGATATGCTCATGGCACACATCACGACTCTCCCTAAACCAGGCAAAATTCCAAACAAAGGGCAAAACCTACGCCCGATCTCACTGTTAAATACAGACATAAAAATAATTGCTAAAATATACGCAAATAGACTAGCTAACATTCTCCCGGCGATTATCCACCAGGATCAGGTGGGGTTTATCAAGGGGAGGCAAGGCGCCGACGGAACGCGCAAGGTAATCAACCTAATACAGAGCCTACGGGGGAGGGAGCATGGTGTATTTCTCTCACTTGACGCCGAAAAAGCGTTTGACAGACTGCACTGGCCCTTCCTCCTGGCGGTCCTGCAGAAATATGGATTCCCAGATACGTTTATCTCAATAGTAAAAACCCTATACAGCAACCCGACCGCTAAAGTGGTGGGAGGAGGGTTCACATCCACTCCGTTTGAGATCTCGAACGGCTCCAGGCAGGGATGCCCCCTTTCCCCGATGCTATATGTCTTGGCGCTAGAGCCACTTACGGCACTAATCAGGGAAAACCCAGACATCCATGGGGTTCAAATTGGACCGCGTGAGTACAAACTCACGCTGTTCGCAGATGATATTCTGCTCACACTTACTACCCCCCACAGCTCTATCCCCGCATTTCTTCAACTACTACAGGAATATAGCAGGTGCTCCTATTATAAACTCAACCTAACCAAGACACAAGCCTTAAGCCTAAACACACCCCAACATACACCTCTAACCAAACAATACAACTTTGAGTGGAGATCAGACAATCTCACCTTCCTAGGACTGACCATCACACCCACCGCCCTAGGCCTATATAAAAGTAACTACCAAAAACTCCTAAAGGAAACCCGAACCATATTAACAAGCTGGCGGAAAAAATACCTCTCATGGACCGACAGACTAGCTGCCATAAAAATGATAATCATCCCCAAATTCCAATACCTGTTCAGAACCTTACCTATCCACCTCCCAACCACATATTTCAAGGAAGCACAAAAACTACTCAACCAATTCACTTGGGACCATAAGATGCCAAGAGTAAGTGCTCGCATCCTTTACCAAAAAACCCCCGAAGGCGGAATGAACGCACCCAATCTCCAAACATACTATCAGGCAGCCATCCTAAATAGCACGATACTACTTCACGGTCAAAACCTACCCCCCCAATGGGTAACAATAGAAAGAGACGCGGTCAAACCACATGCTCTTATGGCACTAATCTGGGCCCCCAAACAAAGCAAGCTACAACACACTACACTACTACCGACCACCGAGGCGACACTACGAGTGTGGGGAAAAAACAAACATATATGTTGCTCACAAACCCCACATTCTAGAGCAATGCCACTATCTGCCATACCCTCCATAATACCGAACTTTAACCACAAAATATGGGAACGACATGGTATACATTACATACATCAACTGTACCAAGAGAACCGCCTCCTAACATTCACAGAGGTACAAAACCTCCATGGACTTCCAACAGCAGCCCACTTCTCCCACAGGCAATTCCACTCGTGGGTAACAAAACACCAAAGCGAAGTAAAGATTACGCCCAACGAACCTCCACTAACATGCTTTGAGAAAACCATACTCAAACTGATACCAACACAAAAAACCTTCTCAATGTTATACACCAACATATTACAGCATGATACCACATTTAGCTACCCCTTCGTCATAGCATGGGAAAAAGACCTAGGACAAACCCTCCCCGAAGCAATGTGGAGGAAGATATTCATTACCCCCAAAAACCTCACACTCAGTGCCAACCATACTGAATTATCCAGAAAAATCCTATATAGATGGTACTTAGGGCCCACACGCCTCAAACAGATGTACCCGGAGGCCTCTGACAAATGTTGGCGTTGCGCCTCGACAGCCGGATCAATGATCCACATATGGTGGACATGCCCAGTACTACAACCCTATTGGTCCGCACTGACAAATCTAATCCAAGCCAGCACAGGCATCCGCATACCGCAAACCCCAGACTGCCTACTACTCCACAACTACCCACCAAAACTCCCTAAAACAATCAGATACCTGATCTACCAAATCAATATAGCAGCCCTAACCCTAATTGGCAGGTCATGGAAAAAAGCCGAAGCACCAACCATGCCGCAATGTACACAAATAATAAACGCCACTAAACTCTATGAAATAGCAAGCAGAACAGCTTTCTCTACCAAAGCAACCTTTTGGAAAACAGCTTGGCAAATCTGGGAGACCTACGAAGCCACCCTCCCCCTCCCCACCACACCATAGCACACAATCCGAAAACTCACCACCCGAGATAACTATTATAGCGACAGACACTATGCCACCTGCACGATCACAGGTAACAATAAAAATATAACAAATTACCGGGTGACAAAATACCCCACAAAGCGAATCTTCAAGACTCCAAACTCCTTCCTCCCTCCTACCTAACCAAAAGAAAGCAAATACTAAACAACTCGGACTTGGACTCTCAACCCCTGTACTCCCCCCCCTTCAACCCTTACCCTTTCTCCCCAGTTGATATACCACTGAAAACTGTTTTAAGTGAACACTATGTTAAACATGTATGTAACCCAACAAGATGACAATGTATTTCTGTACACATGACAACAACTTGATTTACAAACTGTACAAGGAAATGTTCACGGTAAACTTGAAAAATTGCTTAATAAAAAAAAAAAAAAAAAAATGTCCACAAAGGTACAATAAGGAATTTGAATGTGCTAGCAGAAAAGAGAAACACAATTAAAGGTTCAAAAATAATATCAATAAATCTAGGTTATAATAATATAGATGCTTAAAGAAATCACTTTTGTTGGCCTGTCTTGATCTGAAACCTACACTGAAAATGGAATTTTGAATGATGTTTTATTTACCGTCACAGATATTGCTGCATTCCATTTTCCTTGTTATTATAGATAGCTTAGAATAATTTACTTGACCATTAAAGATTGCCACCTTGTAAAAAAAAAAAAAAAGAACAGTTTGACAACTTACATGGGGTCTGCCAGGATAGGGGCTGTAGTAGGGGATAGGGCCCATAGTAATATGTGTGTGTGTGAGGGGTTAAGAGTGTGTGAGGGGTGCAGTGTGTGTGAGTGGGCAGTGCAGTATGTGTGTAGGGTAGGCAGTGTGTGTGAGGGGTGCAGGGTGTGTGAGGGGTGCAGTGTGTGTGTGTGTGTGTTTATGTGTACAGGAGGCAGTGCTTGTGTGAGGGGTGCAGTGTGTGTGGGAGGGGTGCAGTGTGTGTGTATGTGGGACAGTGGGTGTATGGGGTGGCAGTGTGTGTATGGGGGTGCAGTGGGAGCACTGTGTGTATGGGGCCACTGTGTGTATGACACCAGTGTGTGTGTGAGGGTGCAGTGGAGGCAGGGTGTGTGTGGGGCAGTGTATGTAAGGCAGTCGGGCAGTGTGTGTATGGGGGTACAGTGTTTGTATGGGGGAGCACTCTGTGTATAGAAGTGCAGTGTGTGTATGTGGGTACAGTTGGGGCAGTGTGTGAGTATGGAGGTGCAGTGTGTGTATGGGAGTACAGTGGAGGCAGTGTGTTTGTGGGGGGTAGCTTGTGTATGGGGGTGCAGTGTGTGTGTGTATGATGGTGCATGGGCGTGCAGTGAATGTATGGGGGTACAGTGGTGGCAGTGTGTTTGTGGGGCACTGTGTGTATGGGGGTGCAGTGTGTGTATGACAGCGCAGTGTGTATATGGGGTACAGTGGGGGCAATGTGTGTGTGAGTGTGTGTGTGTGTGGGGCAGTGTGTGTATGGGGGTGCAGTGTGTGTATGGGGGTGCAGTGTGTGTATGGGAGTGCAGTGTGTGTATGAGGGTGCAGTGGGGGCAGTGTGTATATGGGGGTACAGTGGGGGCAATGTGTGTGTATTTAAGTGTGTGTATGGGGGTGTAGTGTTTGTATGGGGGTGCAGTGGGAGGCAGTGTGTGTATGAAGGTGCAGTGGAGGAAGTGTGTGTATCGGGGGCGGTGGGGGCAGAGAGTGAATGAGGGGCTGTGGGGGCAGTGTGTGTGTGTAGTTGGGGGAGGGGGCTGATTAAAACAAATAACTTTATTTTAATTAAAATATATATGCTTTATATCCCCCCCTCCTTTCTTACCTTTGCTCAGGGAGAAGGGATATCGATTGTGAATCCCTGGTGATCCGGTGGAGAATCCCTGGTGGTTCTAGTTGGGAGTGAACTCTAGCCTGCAGCTCCTAGGGCTAGAGTTCACTCTCATGAGAACAGAGCATTGCCGTGATAACCGCGGCAACGCTCCGAACTCGCGAGAGGAGACCTCATGGGTCTCCTCTCCCTCCCCCACCGGATGGCCAGCAAATTGCCTGCGGCCCAGTGAGGTAGATCTCTGATCTCCCCTCCAATCCATGAAGGCACCCTGCATGGACCAGCAAGGGAGAGCCTCAACACTGTTATTTTCTCAGGGGGGTGGGGAGAGCGCTTCCTGGATTGAAATGGACCTTTGGTCCAGTATCTGAAGTTGGACATCCTCACACTCTACATGAGGACATCCATTTTCCGATTTTTCTTGAATCGTTGCAAAGGAATATCAGCGCTGGGGTAAGATAAGTAACTAAAGGGTTTTTAAACCTTTATTTACCAGGGAGGGAAAGGGGGGGGTGCAATTGCGCCTTTAAACATTTTATATCATTTGGCGAAGAAAACACTGAAGTAAAAGAAGTTGTTTATTTATCAAACTGCAATAAATCAAAAGCCAGAAGGCAAAACAAGGGCCAAACTAGCTATGATTAAATAATTATATCAACAAAGCTTTGTCGGTCTAAATTTTGTGATTTGATTTTCAGTATAACATAATTTATAGTGAATTAATCTGCTGCTTGTTTCAGATAACTAAATTAAATTATGAGAAATGTAAAAATATTTTGTTTTATACTTTTCTTGTATTGCTTAAAGCATTTAAATGAAAATATATTTAGTTTCGCTATTGCCTGTTGTTCCTAAATCTAATTCACAGATGGCACTCACACACAGGACATCTTGTACTTACGTCAAAGCACTCTCTACACATAACAAATTGTCCTATCTCTGCATTGATTTGCAGTTCTGCTTTCAGAACTGCAGAAAACATGCTAAATAGATTCTGACACTGTATGAAGCCAATAATGGTACTACACTTCATTAATATAAGCCAGATAATTTTATGTAAAAAAAATAACATTGAGCTTGATTTACAACCTGATGCAGTGTTTTTTAAATCTGTGTTTATTTGCTTTGTTTTACAATTTCACAGGTGTAAAAAAGTAAAATTTTAGGAGGGGTAGAAGGCTTAAATGTGGCATCTCGTGGGGCCAGGTGTTACATCTCGTTAGCTGTACTATGTCAGTAATGAACTCTTTCATTATCACTGTTCACCGATCCCAGCTTATACTTCCCTAATTGCGAGGTGGGGATACGGGATTGGCGTTGTCGGACCAGGAACAGGACGTAGAAAAGGGGCAGGACCACATTAGAAAGGGGAGGACCAGCTCATAAAATGAGCATTTCACCGGAAATGGGAGCATGTCAGCCTGGTTTGAATGCATCATTCCTTATTGCTTGGTATTTGTAACGTTGTATATAGCCAGATGAATTAGTAATTTATTACTAAGACAAAACACACTAGACATTACTGACAGTTTTATTGCCAAAAACCTGTGTGGTACCTTCATATAGTACATGTCCTGAATTGCTATAGGAGTGCCAGGGTTGGAACAGGGCAGATAATTTGTAGCTTCTCCAGGTAGGAGAATACAGCCCTGAGTCCATAACAGGGACCTCTGTGAGATGTCAGTAAACGTGATATAGAGAAGCAATCAAAATTACTCAGATCTGGGGGTATTATCCATGTGCAATATATGTCTCAAAGAACCATGACCACATCTGTTTTTAGAAGTTTTCATGGTGGTAGGAATCTGTATGGGCACATACAGAGGTATTTTGTGACTTAGTAACACCCTGGCACATGTGACTTAGGTAACCTGGATCTCTGTTATGGACTACCTAATGTCTATGATTCCTGAGCAGATCCTAGTATAGGTTTCAAAATGGAGCGTTATGGGTGAAATGGCAGTTTTCTTTCTTTTGCCAATATTTTTTACATTTATTAAATATAAATGTTTTATATTTCAGTGACTGACACCACCTCCAGTGTTTCTATAGCTCAAATACAAGCAATTGTTTAGCTCTTTTGTAGAAAATCTAAAGGAGCATGTTTCCCTGTAGGTGTCTCACCACTTCCTCTTGGGTGAAAGGAGATGTTGCTTGAGGTTTTTACATGTTTTACAAGAGCCATACATTTAGTATCATGAAAAAAGTATTTTTTTTTTTGCATGATGTCTGACAAGGTGGCAAAATCATCTTTGAGTTTAGGGATGCCTGGCAGTACAGCACGCTTTTGTTTCCGACTTTCTTTTCACCGACACCCTGACTCGTGTAGTTGTCAAGCTTTGTGCACAGAGGTGGGGTTATGATTTCTTGGTGATTAACTGGACTTTGGTTTGGACCCTAACCCCAAATGTTTCTGGAAAGTAACAAAATTCTGTATAGTATGCCATTACTCTGAGTTGGGGCTGCAATATCGCCTTCGTTCTTCTACATTTCCTGTTGCCCTGTCTATTGCACCTTCTGGAGAATGGCCCCTGATTTGTCTCCTGTTTTTTGTCTTGACCATGTCTCTCATACACGGTTTATTATAAGAATCTTTAACCCTCTGAAATCTGTTAGCCACTATAGAGATATGTGCTTAAATTGAAATAATTTTAATCAGCATTAAAGTAGTTAAGTCACCCCATATGTAAAATAAGTATTTCAGAAAGATAAAAATACTCATATTGACGGTGTTAGAATTTCAAACCAGTCAAAATATATACTAAGATAAAGCAGGTACTAGTTTGTCTCAAATTTTCCTCCCTTTCCTCTGATTGACAAAGCTTGACATAAGGCAGAGCTACCGCTTGTCAAGCTTGTTTCTTCCCCCAGCCATCATCAGTGATGACTGTAGGAAAAAAAAGGTCTTTCTATGGATCTCAATGCTGCACTCTCACGCATGCATGCCCTGACATAAGCTCCTGTAGGGCCAGGAGCTGAAGAGGACCAGATTGAAGAGGATGGTGATGCCCATGAGGGCAGGTTCTGGTAAAATAGCCTATCTTCAGAAAAACTCAAGCCGCCCACGGCTACCAGACCCCCAGCAGCGATGTCCTCATTGGGGGTCTTTGCAAAGAGCCTTGAAATACACTGAGCATAAAAATGTAAAACTTCAAAATAAGGCTTTATAGTTATATTAGTTATACATTAAATCTGATTTATGAAGGGAAGGTAGGTGATATCTGCTAAAGCTAATTGTTGATTATATGAAATATATGAACAGATAAATTATATGAATTACGTACTTGACTACCAAGATCTGATCACCAAAGATGAAGCAGGAAAATGCACACTGGATTGCTCTGTAGGTGGCGAATTCATGGGGAACGCTGCAAGTGAAAATATGGCAGGAACGGAAGAATATTCTTCTAACACTCCTTAACCACCCATATATTGGAGCGACTCTGATGTAGTGGTTTTCCTTTAGAGATCTTCTCCAATTGACCTCCTGCCAGGTACCACTGTTCCTGCTATCTTCTAATTTAGACTCTTCACCTGGGGCTTGCATTCCTAGGGGAAGGCTCTGTTGTGCAAATGGCCGCTTTTGGGGCCCACACATACGACAACGCTTGACCCGCTCCTCCAGAATGGGATGTGCACGTCAATGGAGAGATTTACGATACTTCAGACATTACTGCTCTCTCCTGAGAAAACAAGACCTACACAACTCGAAACCCTATGTCTACAAGGCAGTGTGTGAGAAGAGGCATATTTACCCTCTATAAATATCAAAACAGCAAAATTTATGGAACGTTGGGAAGATGACCTCGAAACTGTATTCTCGGAGGAACAATGGCTAAACATGTGCATTGTTCTTCCATCATCACCTCCATTCTGGAAACTAATAAGTTCATATAACAGTGGTACCACACTCATATTCTACATAAGTTATTTTCCATGAGTGCCAAATATTTGCTGGAGAAGCAGCACGGAAATATGCACACTGCTCAGCATATGGTCGTAATGCCTGATAAAGCCTTTCTGCTGTCTGGTTCTTCTCCCTACCTCTAAATTAAAACAATCTTTCACAAGGCATTTCCTCAAAGCATCTAGAGTACTGATCCTGACCCTTGCCCTCTAGAAACACAAGACTCCTCTAAGCTTAGGGCACTGGATAGCCAAGATGGTGGAAATTAAAAATACTGCTCCGCATATGGTCGTAGTGCCCGATAATAAAGCCTTGGTTCATGAGACTATGACATTGATTGTGGGTGATGGGGCCCAGGTTGCCGTAATCCTGAAGCTATGCTGCTAATTCATCTCTTTGTCAAGAGTACTGACCCTTGCCCTCTAAAAACACACAACCGGTGGGGCGGGGCCTGACCGCCGACGGGATCAGACGTGCCTTGTCTGAGCTCCCGCTTCAGGGCCGAAAAATCGGCGAAAACCGGAGGCCAAACCTAACCAGCGGTCCATAATGGCGACCAAACTGACCCCCAGCTGATGGGGAACGCGGGGATACCTCACAAGACCCTGCCTGGCAACAACAGTGACCCGACAAGGGCCCGAAGCAGAACGGAGCTTGAGCCGGGATGGGACGGCCGCCCTCCCGGGTCTCCAGCCGGCGTCTGGCTCCCCTCCCCCCCTCTGGACCGGGGGGGTCATCCCGGTCTACAAGGGCAACCACTGGGGCACAAATCCGGGCCCAGAACAACCACTCTGCCGTGGAACACCTACCGAGCGGCACCCCACAAGATGGCCGCCGCTCGCATGCCATGTGCGCGACCGGCCAGCATGACAGAGCCGATCGCAGAGAGGACCACCCAGCTAGAACAAAGCAAGTCTGGGGACAAAAACATCTACCACAGCAGGGGAAAGAGTGGGGCTGAAAGAGTTACTAACCCTCTGACCGCAACCGACGACCCCTGGGGGAGCTGTGCTCTCACGCCGCATGATGCTTCTACCAGCCACCCTTCCCAAGCAACAACAAGCTTGTTAGCTCTGCACTCGGCTACAGATCAAGCCTGGAAGGAGAAGCCCAACTACCACCCAGATGAGTACCCTAGACACCTGTGAAAGCATGTGGATCCCTGTCATTGTGCATTGAGCAGGACTACTATGTCTCCCTGTCACAGCCCACAAGTCTGAAGTTAACCCATCCTATAGGCCAGCACAGAGACAACCACAGCCCAACTTTACGCGGGCTTTACAAGGGACTACAGTTTTAACTTTACCTCTTGCTGCCTAAGCCCCAGTATTCTTTGCTATACACTGCTACAGTATTGCCTTTCCTACATATGTTAAATGGCAACGATCTGCTAAGCTCCAGTGGTCCTAACTAAGCTTTTGACTAGCCAATATGTAAAACAATAATTCCTACTTAAAACGTAAGCTTTTGTCTAGTCAGCATGTTAAACAATAATTCTTACTTAAAACGTACTAATCGTGCATTGCATAACATAATTGAAACGTATCCTCAGAGGCTTCACCACGTGTGTCTGACATGATTCTTCAGTATCAGTGTGCTAGGCATCTATGCAGATTTAATATTATATTGTCTTGTCTAGATGCCAAACATGCAGTATAAATCTGTTATGTCTTACACCATGATAGACACACTAGTTCAGCGTGGTCCTAGCCTTCCTCAGATATAGCATGTTTACCTTATCGCATGATACACCCAGCATGTATTGTTAACCTGTTGTATATTACTTTAAAAAATGTGTGCAGTCACTCCATATACCATGTCAAAGTTACACAATGTTTGATGCTTGAACTACTTGCCAATACTGTCGTGGTATCGCAAGTCTGTATGTAAACGCTTGCACAACAAAAATAAAGAATAATAAAAACACACAACCCATCTAAGCTTAGGGCAATGGATAGCTAAAATGGAGGAGATTAAAAATATGGAGGCAATGACGGCGGCTCTATATGGCAGAAAACCGAACAGAATGAAACCAAATGTCATTGTCATTGCTTTTCTTGTTTCATTCATTTTATGTTCATTCATGTTGTTGTTTTTATGACGTCATCAAAAAGGACAACAAAATAAATAAAGATTGTAAAAAATAAATAAATCACGTTTTGATCACCTGTATGAGCAAATAGGCAGTGTTTGGGATTCTAGTTGATTGATTTCAATTTTCTAAAGCTAATGAGTTTCAAGAGCATTGTCTTATGTTGTTTTTACATTATGGGATGTGTGTGCCTGTTTGTGTAAAATAAATGAAATGTATATTATCCATATAATATTATGGTGTTGAGTAAATGTATAGGGGTGCACTCTGCAGTATTCCATAACAATTTTGTCAATATTATTGAACACCATCCTTCTCACACCCACCACCAATCATATGTTTACGACACAGCCCATATCTCTTTAAGACATCCATGAAAGGTAACTATAAATCTTATGCATTAAATGGGTCCACTGTGCACACAAACACAGGTTATTAACTCTTGCTATAAAAATGGCAGGGGGTTGAAGAGATGATGAGATACTTTACTGTAGATACAAGCTCATCACAAGTACAGATTTTAAACTCATGAGGATTTTCCCCAATAAACAGTCATTTATGGTGAATCAACATCACATATATAAAATTTAGGCTTAAACCAACGTGAGAAACCTCTATAAATCAGCCATGTATGCAATGTGGTTATGTAAGCATATATTCTGCAACCTGGTTGTCAACACATCACAGTTTATTGGATAAAGAAATTCACCGCTCTTTGTAATGTGAGTTAACAAATAGTAAATAGAAATATGTTCCTCAAACCAGCAATCAAAATGACCAACACTCTCACCATTCTCATAATGGGGTGGGAATCACAACTGCTGGATCCTTTATAAAAATCTAATTTAGTTCTCCACCAAACTATAAAGTAAGATAGAAAATTCATATTGCCAGACTTATACTTAAACATTAAAGTACTATTATTCTTCATTCAATTTCTTATGCATGCATATAGATCTGTAAGATGGAGGTTTGCATAAATGTTGCTGGGTCTATAGCAGTGTAAATGTTTTATCACGTGTATGTGGAGATCATTTTATCAAGGGCCACAATGACAAGATAGGACTCGATTTATTGTCATGGGAAAAAAGAAGGTACGCGCTCTTTGAATTCTGTGTTTTTACATATCAGGTCATAATAACAATAATCTGTTCCTTACCAGGTTTTAAAAGTAGGTAAATACAACCTCAGCTGAACAACAACACCTAACATATTACACCGTGATTTTTTTAACAAAAATACAGCCGAAATGGAGAAATCGTGTGTGGAAATCCAAGTGCACCCTTACTGCGTCCATAGGAATTAAATAGCAGACAGGTGTTACTAATCAAATAATAAGACAAAAATTAATTAGGTAGGCCTAAAATTAATGGTGTAAAAATGAGAAAAAAGACAGTGAAAAGTAGAAATACCAATAACAAAAAGCAATAAAAAGCAAAAAGACAATAAAAATCACCTTTTCAGTGACTTTCTTTTGGGAATCAGAAAGGTGCTACTTCTTCAACTCGTGAGACCAAAAAGAAAAAAACAAGAGAAAAAAAAAAGAGAAAAAAAAACTCCAATGGTGTAGTATGTCACAAACAAGTAATAGGTAGTATCAAGACGTAATCAGTCTACTCACATATTGTAGAGCTAATACCAGCTCTGGTGTAATGCGCATTCAGTGGTGTTGATCCCCCACTGGTAGGATTTCAGTGATGATACTTCCAACAGGTTATTCAAGGCAAGGTGTCCCAAAAGGAGAAAGCAAGGAGAAATAGTGCTCTCTGTATAAAACTGGTTAAAACAAACAATAATAGAAGAGGTCTTATACTCACATTTGATTTAGTGGGAACTACTTCTCAAGTATTAGGCGTAGGTGTTTTAATCCCCACCTGGGATTCTTTGGTGAGTTCTTCTCCAATGGTGTAGATAAGTGACCAGGTTAAAAAAAAAAAATATATATATATATATAATTTAAAATAAAATGAACTAGAAGTAAAAGGTATATGGCATAGAAAAGTAAAATAGCCAATATGCCTTTAATAAACAAACCAAACGTGTTTCACCAACACAGGACTTCATCAAGTGGTAATAAAACATGTAAACCGGCACATAGAGGTATATTTAGAGAGTACATGCAATTACAATTTCACAATTTGGCACCATAATGACGTCATCAGCATGAGACATGAGATTTAAACATGTAAAAATAAGTAAGTTCAAATGGTAAAATTAAGATACTTTTAAAAACATTATAAACAGGTAACTAGGTCCTTTATTTAAAAAAAAAACAAAATGTGGAATGGAAGATTGTGTAATATAAGTTAAAAAAGCTGATCAAGTGATGCACAATTATGATGTTGCACTATGTGGGGAGGGTTATGGGGTGTCATGGGCTGCAGATAGCAACCCCTTTAGGAGACCTGGCTGGATTTGAACTCACAACTCCAGCATCCCAGTACATAGCTCTACCATGCTGTCCACCAGGGGTCTTCAGTATCTACTGGTATTTGTCTGCTTCCTGACTCCTTGCCTGGATGGAGCAGTGCTGATCCACCTGCAGCCTCTTAACAATTAGAGTCAGTTGCTCCTAATCAGCAGGCTGTAAAAGCCAGCTCTGCCTGAGGCCTGGTATCTAGTTGTTTTGTTTTTTCCTGCCGGATCTTTGTTACTCTGCTGACTGATTCCTGGACTCTGACCTCTGCCTGCCTTACTGACTCCGCTACTCCGCTGCCAGCCCTGACTTCTGCTTCTCATCGGACCCTGCCTTTGGATTACCCCTTCATCTGTACTGCGCTTTGTTTTTTTCCTCCTCCTTGTGCCATCTCCTGCACCTGAGCTCCAACTCCTGGTAAACTGTGACATAACAACCAGATCCTACGATGGAGCCTGCGGAGATGATGGATGTTCTGAGTACCCTCACACAGCAAGTGACCCTCCTGTCCCAAACTTTAAGTGAATTGCAGAGTGCCTATGCTGATTGAAAGGGAACACACACCATGTCCCTGAACCTGATGTTGCATAGCCTGAAAGATTCACTGGTCGCAGGACTTCCATACACTCCTTTATCACAGACTGAAATCCTATTTGTACTTAAACTTCATAACTATGCTGTTATCCGGACTACCCAAGACCTGGGCTCATCAACAGCTGTATGCCAAAAGCCCTGTCTTGGAAACCTGGGAGTCCTTTGCTACAGGCTTGACATCCTTGTACGAGGACCCCTTCCATGCCTCCACAGCTCGGACTTCTCTCCATTCCCTTAAACAAGAAAACTGTCTTGTGGGGAATTACATCACAGAGTTCCGTGGCTTATCAGACTCTGGACTTAATAAAACCGCCCTAGTGGACCAATTCTGCATTGGATTAACTGAAACCCTTAAGGATGAACTGGCACGAGTTGGAGCTCCAACCTCCCTGGAAAAATTAAGCTGGATCTCCAGTTCAAAGAAAGAAGGCAAGAGTGATTTGAAACAAACACTCTGCCCGATCAACGCGCCAAACCTGCTATCCCCACCATGGACATAGAGTAACCCATGCAGATTGGAACACTGTCATGCTCATGGTAAATGAAAAGGCCAGAAAGCAAGCCAAAGATCTTTGCTTCTATTATGGCAAGGGAGGCCACTAAATCAGCTATTGCCCGGTACGTCCTCCTCGCCCTAAACATGGCCATGCGGGGACTCTGTGTCGCCCTCCTGCAAGTCCTCCATGGCACCTTAATTGTTGTTGCTCAACTCTGCATGCTACCCGACTGAAAAGACCACCTAACCAGACCATTGGCACCATCATGCTCCCAGCTAAACCTGCTCCTGTTCCAGAGCCTCAAAAGGAGGCTGCTGTGGCTACCTTCCAATTCTCAACCTCTGACTCCCCTAACGTTTCCTGCTCCAAAGCAGAGACTCTGTCCCCAGACTGTGTAATTGCCTACAATGGAACCCTAGGATCCCCTAGTTGAAGCCCTGACACTTGGGGCCCAGAGGTCACCCCTTGTCATAGTGCACCCCAAACCCTGCAGACAACAAGGCATGGCCGCCCCTTTTACACACCTGGCTGAATTTTAACTCACAGCTCCAGCATTCCAGTCAGGCTCTCTACCATGATGTCCACCAGGGGGCTTTAGTATCTACCTGTTTGTCTGCTTCCTGACTACTTGCCTGGATGGAGCAGTGCTGATCTACCTGCAGCCCCTTAACAATTAAAGTCAGCTGCTCCTAATCAGCAGACTGTAAAAAACAGCTCTGCCTCAGGGGCCTGGTATCTGGTCGTTTTGTTTTTTCCTGACGGATCTTTGTTACTCTGCTGACTGATTTCCTGGACTCTGACCTCTGCCTGCCTTACCGACTACAATACTCCGCTGCCAGCCCTGATTTATGCTTCTCGTCTGACTCTGCCTTTGGATTACCTCTTCATCTGTACTGCACTTTAGTTTTTGCCTCCTCCTTGTGCCATCTCCTGCACCTGTGCTCCAACACCTGGTAAACTGTGACATAAGGCAATTTCCAAACAAGTCCATCATTCTACAGTGAGAAAGATTATTCAAAAGTGGAAAACATTCAAGACATCTGCCAATCTTCCCACGAGTGGATGTCCCAACAGGTTCACTCCAAGATCAGACCCTGCAATACTTAGAGAAATTGCAAAAAAAAGAGTTACATCTCAGACTCTACAGGCCTCAGTTAGCATGTTACAGTACAATTAGAAAAAGATTGAACAAGTGTGTTTTTTTTTTTTTTTTTATTGGAAGAGTTGTCAGGAAAAAGCCTCTTCTCATGGCAGCATGGCTTATGTTTGCGAAGTTGCATCTGAACAAGCCACAAGACTTCTGGAGCAGTGTCCTTTGGACAGACGAGACCAAAGTGGAGATGTTTGGCCGTCGTGCACAGCGCCACATTTGGCAAAAACCAAACTCCGCATACCAGCATAAACACCTCATACCAACTGTCAACCACAGTGGTGGAAGAGTGATTTGGGCTTGTTTTGCACCCACAAGACCTGGAAACCTTGCAGTTGTTGAGTCAACCATGAACTCCTCTGTATATCAAAGTATTCTAGAGTAAATTATGAGACCATCGGTCCGATAGCTAAAGCTTGGCCAAAATTTCTTCATGCAACAGGACAATGATTAAAACACACCAGCAAATCTACAACAGAATGTCTGGAAAAAACTAAAGAATCAAGGTGTTGCAATGACCCAGTCCAGACCTCAACTCAATTGAAATGGTGGAACCTTAAGAGAGCTGTGTATACATAAATGCCAGCAAACCTCAATGAACTGAAACAATGTTGTAAAGAAGAGTGGGCCAAAATTCCTCCACAACTATATGAGAGGCTGCTAAAGTCATAGAGAAAACGATTGCTTCAAGTTATTGATGCTAATGATGGTTCTACAAGTTATTGAATCATAAGGTGTTTTTCACACTTGGCTTCTCCATTTATGCTTTATTTTTGTTAAATAAATCATGACATGGTGTAATATGTCATGTGTGTGGTTTTCATTTGAGGTTGTATTCACCTAATTTTAAGACCTGCTAATGAACATATGATTATGTCCTGATATATAACTGAATGCAGTGGGTGGCTGCGATGCGGGCCGGTGCAAGGATTTTTGGGTACACATTCGAAGATGATTTTGGAACCCCCCCTCCCAAAAGCATCTTCACCTGTGTGCCTCTTAACCCGCCTTTTGATTTTTATCCCCTTTTTAAAAATGTTTTACCCCCTTTAGTGTCTTATGCCCTATTTTTTCCCCATTGTGTCTTACACCTGCTTTGTGTTTCTTACTCCCCCATCCTCTGTGTCTCCTTCTCTCCCAGACCCTTTGTGTCTTTTACTCAGCTCCTTTGTGTGTTTTTCTTTCACCACCAGCCCGTCCATCTCCCCCAGCCCCTTTTGTGTCTCTTTTTTTTTTCTTCTCCAGCCCCTCTGTGTCTCATTCACCCCCAACCCCTTTGTATTTCCACCCACAGGCTCTTCTGTGTGGCGCTTTCATCCCCTGCCCCTCTGTGGACTTTCTCAGCCCCAGGCAAATCTGTGTGTCTTTCTCCCCCCTCATGTACCTCTGTGTGTCTTTCTCCACTCTCCCCTCCATTTCACTTAGTGTTCCTCCCCCCTCCCTTCCCTGTCCCTTAGTGTTATTCTCTTCTCCCTCTCCTTTCCCTTAGTGTTTGTATTCCCTCCCCCTTACCTGTCTCTTCGTGCCTCCCATTCCCCTTAATGTCCCTCCCCCCCCCCCCCCCATCTTAGTGTTCCTCTCCCTTCTCTTTTAGTGGTCCCCCCACTACCCCAGTGTTCAATATCCTTCCCCTCCCCTGTACCTTAGTGTCCCCCCAAATGTTCACCCCCCAGTGTTCTTCTCCCCTGTCCCATAGCATTCTTGTCTCCCCTTTCCTGTCCCATAGCGTTCTTGTCTCCCCCTTCCCTGTCCCATAGCATTCTTGTCTCCCCCCTCCCTGTCCCATAGCGTTCTTGTAAACTGTGTAAACCCTTCCCTGTCCCACAGCGCTCTTGTCTCCCCCTCCCCTGTCCCATAGCGTTCTTGTCTCCCCCTCCCATGTCCCATTGCGTTCTTTCCTCCCCTCCCACAGTTCCCCCCCATAGTTTTCCTTCAGGCTCCTATACTCGGCCGGACTGACAGAAAGTGCTCTCTCAGTAAGTTCCTGTACCGCAGGCCGCACTACTCCGCTTGGCCACGCTACACAGAGTGACTGGCAGGAGGAAGTGCTGTGCGGCCACCTCCTGCCGGTCACTTCAATATAGCATCCCCCGCGCCGATGTACCCTAATGTGGCCAATTGTGCCACCTTATTGAAGTGCCGGCCCTTGTGATCTGTGCCATGTTTAGCAGGACACATTCAGAGGTCTTGTGGAGTCCATGCCTTGATGCATCAGAGCTGTTTTGTCAGCATGAGTGGGACCTACACAATATTAGGCATCTGGTTTTAAAGTTGTGACTGATCAGTGTATAATCTCAGATTGGAGACTTAAAGCAGGAAAGGACCTGATTCTAATATTTACCATACCAGTCTGCTACAAACGAAAGCATTTTATAGGTTTAATAAATGACTCAATTGAAACTTCATTCTACACATTGTCCCCTCAAGGTATAATGTTTGTACAAAAATTCCACAAGGATAAAGCATTGGCTGACACATTGTCCTAACTAAACACCACTAAAATGTATTGATGCCACTGTGCTAATATTTGCAGAGGGGCCTTTTAGTCAATCACTGTGTCCGCTGGACACACATTGATTTGTCAGTGAGTAAATTAATCTTCTTCCTAGCTGCAATCATACATGCTGTTAGGGTTGAGCTATTCATATAGCAAATTCTCAGCCATAGTTGTTTAAAAAGCAGCGTAGTTGATTTGCTTATTAGTTGCAATCCAGCTATTATGGCCTATAATTTACATTTCCAACATAAAGGCTCCACAATTGAAGATTATGCTAGCTTTAGTGTACTAATAATGTTAATTTTAATAATGACAGGAGGCGAGTATTTTGCATATCTCTCTTTACTAACTCCATACAGCAATAAAGAAACACATAGAAAAAAGAACCAATCACAGGAGAGCAGGATGTACACAAGGCAATGTGACCTTATCATTTCTTCTTTCAGAAAGCATTACAAGCAGAAGTAATTATATAGCAAACAATAAAACTACTAATAACTCCAAGTTCCCATGTGCAAAGGAGCAAACTTCCAAAGAATTCTATACGAACAACGAAAAAGAGTTCAGGGTTGAGACAAATCCGAAGGATAAAATCTCCAATAGTTTCACGTGAACTGCCAATTATCTTCAGAGACGAATCATACTGAAAAGAGAATGTGTGACAGGTTTAGACATGGTCACGAACATGTAACTCCAATTAAAGTACCACCTAATATCCCATTGGAGAATATAGTAACTATAATCTGATAACGGAGTAATTGTAATGAGAACTCTAATGAGGATTCCATATTAATGGAAGTACGAACATATCATATAAGCACCAATGTGAGAGGCAAACCTACCTTAGCACCTGATATCTGCAAAGCAAACGAATAGAAAGGGTGGGCAGCGAAGTAGGGGGGGAAATACTCGCCTCCTGTCATTATTAAAATTAAGATTATTAGTACACAAAAGCAAGCATAATCTTCAATTTTACCACATGACAGGAGGCTTCGTATTTTGCATTTTTAACGCTGAGAAAAGAGTATAGAACTAAATAAGAGTCCTACGGTGTGCCAAGAGACCCAGTATTCGGCATTGTGGGGAGGTCTTCCCCGCTGAGCGCCCACGTATACACCATCTAATGAGAAATTATACAAGACCAAGTCTGACCAATTGTCAGCAGGATGTTTAGTCCCGTAGAGTGAAAGGAGAACAACCTCCACAACTCATAAGCTGGAGAGGTATGACATTGGGTAGTTGGTATCCTAGAGGATCCTAGTCCCTTGGGCGTCCTCAGGTAGTGATACCGGCTGCAGTTCCGTCTCCATCCTCACATAAGGGATCAAGATGCAGGACTGAACCAGACAGGCTGGGAATGTCCCGATGTAGGGGTAGGGTCTGGGTTCCCAGATTCTCAAGAGGTCCCCGGCAGCCTGCGATCATCCGCTGACCTGCCAAGAAACCTCCAAAGCGGGTCCAGGTCCCCAGGTAGCCGACCCTCCTGGAATAGAAGATGTGAGTACCCTACGGCTCCATGAGGAATTGTTTGTCATGAATGTAGCAGGAGAAGATCCTTGCCTGCTCGAGAATTACTGTAGACCTTGTAAGCATGAGAAGCATAAGTCCTCCAGGGAGGTCCGGTCGGACGGAGCGCAATCACCATCGTGCCTCGACTTATACTGTGACGAGTGGTAATATCCAAATCAGTCGGCCCCTATGAGATGTGTCTCCCCCGGGAGACTGGTTGATCTTCTGTGAAGAAGACGGGGATCGAAGGAGCCTACATGTTGTCTGAAAAACATGAGTTGGTCCATCGCGGTGGATGTGAAACCTGACCGCCTAATCTGTGGTTAACTGCAGTATGGTGCAGCCGATGTAGTACTTCTTTATCCATCCATGTATTGTGAAGTATAGGACCAAGAAGTCTAGGTATACAACGTACAGGGCCACGGTGGTGCCGCGGAGAGTCGTACGAATATTCCCAAGTTGTGGAATAGTCTACAAATCCTCTGAGCGAATATTCTTCTACAAAAGGTTCCAGCCGGTTCTCGGATGAACGTGGATGTTGACGAGTTTTCAGTTCACTGGAGTGATCTGAATGAGGTTTTCCCGGAAGAGAGTGTCTTGTTTTCCCCGCCTGTATTCATTACTTCTTTTTGTAGTTTTTCAGGGCCCACCAGGCTCCGAGCTACTGGATCGGGAAGGAGAGGATATCCCCTGAAAACTGGGTAAGGTGGTCGAGCAGGAAGCAAGAAACCGTCCTGACGTGTCTTTAGGTCCTGAACGCAAGTCGGTTGACTACGTGAAAGTGGTCTTCCCCAGGATTGAGTGCCCTTCACCTAGATGTGGTGAAATCCCCTGTGGATGTAGTAGGAGGTATATTGATGGTATCTGTGCGTACTGTGCTCTCTCCGCTTATCTGGAGCACCATTGGTTGACACTATCGCTCTATATGGGTAATAGAGCCAGCGGTAGCGGATCTCGGGTCTAATGTCCCAAAGTGGTCGACGACCGGCTCTGTTGCCAACTGGTTCCAAAGAATCCCTTGTAAAGGTAATCGCATACCACCTCCCTCCTAGGGGTTTGGGCCCTTATGAAAGCCATGGGACCCTTGCATGTCTAATAAGTTCCCTTCGGAACTTTGTGCCTTGTGTCTGGGGTTCCGACTATCTTGGCGCCCAGTACCGCCAGCCATCCGCCAGTGCGGAGGAGTGCTGCTATGGGCATCCTATGGGAGAGGCCAACACTGGGATTGCCTGCGAGGAGCAGAAACAGTTTTTTGAGTCCATATACACAAGTTGTATGCCCGTTCCCGGACGATGTTTGGCGGCGTCCAGCATCGCCCATGGTAAGGTCGTGAATCCTGAGAGACCTCCTCCGTTGGTCACTATAGTCGTCTGAGCCGTTCTGACCAGCATGGAAGGGCATGGGTTTGTCCGACCATCAGCGGATATGGACATTCTAAGCAAGAGGCTGCAAAGCCACAAGTGCATAATGTTGTCATGTAGGTTTATCGTAGTAAGGTATACCCCTGTGTAAGGCACAAACCAGTAGTCAGGCACAGGATGCAGGGCAAACAGATCAGTCTACTATGACAGTAGGCAGTGTTCACGGAAACCCTTGTGGGTCTATTCCGAATTGTGGCCAAACAAAACAGACTGGGGCTCACCCAGTACATAGAGGTTGCCATAGCATTGCCTCCGTTAAGCAGCACCGTGCAGCGCACGTATATTGGGGGCTCACACCGGGTGCACAGGGTATCAACCCTTAAGTGCTGGCCATCGCCCTGATAGAGAGTGTCAGTCACCTCTTCCATTATTAAATTCACCACAAGGGAAATATATATCGTTAAGTAGGTGGCTCGGAACTCCTGTTCAGCAGTTGTAACCGCATGCCATTTTAGTGCAGTGCACGCCTAGCCGGGCCCTGTGCATTGGGCGTGGGCCTTTAACTGCAGGCCGCAGAATAGGTACAGGGCATAAACCCGTACCATATCATGATTCATTATCAATGGAGGTATTCCTTCAGCTGTAGGTAGAGGCTGTTGCTGTAAAACTTCCTTCGGTTGGGTAGTGTGACTCGCCTATCGTAGGGGTCTCACCCCAAGAGCACCGGGTCTGCACCTGTAAGTGCCGGTCCCAGATTCGAAGTTTGGATTTTCAATGCTCGAGCTCGCTGTTGAGAGGGGTAGGAGTAGAAGCAGCAGTGCTGTAGGGGGCTCACCCCAGTTGCACAGGGTATGAACCCATCAGTGCTGACCATCAGCCTGATAGAGAGTGTCCTACAGCTCTATCAATAATTAATGCACTGCCATGAGGGATATACTGCACTGAAGCTTGCGACTCTGTCCCCTTTTTTGCCGAATAGATTGGCGTATACCTAGTCAGAGATCACCTCAGGTGCGCACTGTATGTACCCGTCAAGCGTGGGTCGCGGCCAAATAAAACAGACTGGATGAGAGCACAATCCGTTTCATTGTGTGCAATGCACCATGCAGACCCCACCAGGGTGTAGTAGTGTGAAATTTATTGTGTGCAATTTATTGTCTCAAAGTATCAAAACAACCCCAGCAGGGTGTGTGATATGGGGTACCCCAGCAGGGTATCTGTTGTAGTGTAAATAATGCCAGTGGACCCCAGCAGAGTCTGTATAAATGACAGTAATGTGTAATAACCCCAGCAGGGTATTCTGTATCTGTCACATAGTGTTGTCAAATTGTCCCAGCAGGGCAAACCACAATATTGGGATTTGTATAACTGGGCCTCACCCAGGATCACAGAGGTGGCCACAGGGCTACCTCTAAAAAGCAGCACGGTAATAGGGGTAGCACCCCATGCAGGCACAGGGTAATAAGCCCTTTAGTGACTAATATGGCAGTAATGAGACAAAAAGTGACTGACCTCTGAGGGATAATAGGATATAGCACTAGCTCTAAGCTCCGTCGTCGGTCGTGTTCTGACAGGTAGTCTTAAGTGATAGGGGTCATCCCTTTTAGCATCCATTACCAGACATAGAGTCTTGCTGTAGATTCCTGAACCCTGCTCCAGGTGATATCCCTTCAAATCTCCCATCACTGATATGTACTTATCCATTACCATCTTGATAATCTGTGTCCAAGGGTGCTATCCCTTAAAGGAATTCAAGGATGGTATCCCTTTAAGGATTTGGTATCCCTTTTAAGTAGTTCCAGAGTGGTATCCTTTTAAGGAGTTCCCTATAAGGGTCCCAGAATGGTATCTTTAAGGAATTTGAGGGTGCTATCCCTTTAAGGGATTTTTGGGGGTGATATCCCCTTAAGGTTCCAGTACCTCAAACCACTATACACAAGTACGACTCAAATCTGTAAATAAAAGGCCAGTTAGAATACTTGCCTTTGCCTGGATTCGAACTTGGGACCCTGGGGTCCAACGTCCGTGTCAGAGAATCATGAGCCCAAGAGCAGCTAGGCTAACTGACAGCCCAGGTATATGTTACTCTTGAGCGCCGAAATTGTGGTGGGCAAAAGTAGCAAAACGGCCGTCCATAATATTGCGAGATTAAAGATGGCCGCCGAAGGTAAAGGATGGGGAAACATGGTCCCTGGAGTCTCGGTAGACGCGGGATCAAAGATGGCCGGCTGCAACATGCTCGGGCTACCTCGTGGTCGACCCACAGACTGCCAAGGTAGTGGATGTTGGAAAGCATCCAGCACATTACCAGGTGTACGGTATGGGGCAGCCTGAGAGAGCGAGGGCAGTGAGTCCGGCCGTCCCCCTGAGGATTGTAGGAGGAAGGGGCCGAACGGATAGGCCGGAAGAAGGGGTTAATGCCTTGGAGCCGGTGGGAGCCGACGGGAACCGCGGAAGGGAAGGGGTTAAGCCCCAGCCAGACCCAGAATCCCCATGACATCCTGGGGGGGATGGAGGAAAGCGGGGTAAGAGGGTCCCCAGATGCCCCAGGTATAGAAGACCAGGAAAATCGCCAGAAAAGTCATGATACATATGGTATAAAGTACATCTACCATAATTATACATAAAACTTATTAAGTCAATAATAAAATTTATTAAATCCATGTTATAAAATACATATGACATCTATTAAATACATATAAAGTACATATAATACTTATTAAAATAAAGGATGAAATGCCTATAAAACTGATAAATTACAACTGATATTAATCACAAGTAAAGGTTATGAAATAAGGATAACATTAATTTTACATAATATCTATGAAATAACATAGAAAAAACACAGCTGTACATAGTACAGAAGCACAGCAAGAACATACAGTAAAGTATATAAATATATAATACAGAAACAACCTCAAAGAGGCAATAGAAACATAAGTAATGGAGAAGAGTAATACTCTGACCTGTCTGCTTGATGGAGCAGTAAAGAAAGAGGAAATGATAAGGTCACATTGCCTTGTGTACATCCTGCTCTTCTGTGATTGGTTCTTTTTTCTATGTGTTTCTTTACTGCTGTATGGAGTTAGTAAAGAGAGATATGCAAAATACGAAGCCGCCTGTCATGTGGTAAAATTCCTAATTTAGGATTCGGTTACAACAACAGATGCTGTACACTATTGCAATTAACTACAGCTGGTTGCTACTTACCGACATGTTTCCAACTATGTTGCTATATTTTACCGGCTGACCCAAAGCCTCAATACACTGTGTAACTGGCCTTCGCAGGAGATGGTGACAGTGTACACAGTGTTTAAAACAGTGATTTTGTGCTAAGCCCAAAACATATTACATACCTGCCAACTCCAGAGAATCTGGAGGCTTGTTGGAGTGAGGTAATGGGGGACGGACCAGTGACACGATTGCGTTTCTAGCTCTGCCCCAAAAGAGCAGTCCCGTCTGGAGAAGGGTAGGGCCCCCCCAAATCAATAGCAGGATAGCCTGGTGATGAATGCACGCAAGGTTGCCTTTCCATTATTTAAGCCAGCCCACTTAGGGAAAAAATTCGCAGGGCGTTCTGTTTCATTGCTCATTTCAGGATCCTAGTGCCCTGAACATAGAGCAAGTGTGTCTAATAACGCGCTGTGCTTATTGTGAACGATTCCCACAAGTGGGAAAGCGGGACAGGATCCATCGGGACTGTCCATCCGAAATCAGGACAGCTGGGAGAAAATATCAATGAAATGTTTTAGGTTAATTTCTGCTATGGTAATTGTTCATTTAAATGCAGCATGCGCTTACTAATAGTAATTTTTTTTTTCCCTGTCTAACAATATAATTATCAGACACATCTGAAGATTGGAATTGGAATTAATTTGTATTCCTCTATATCTTTCAGAGACAGCTTGATTTAACCACAGCTCATTTTCTGCCATTTTCTCAGTTGTAACTATGTAAAATGTATTATAAGAAAATAGGAAGAAATATTCAAACTGTGCTGTTAAAAAGCATTCTGGATTAATTGGTGATCTCCTGGAGCTAGAGAGATCAGTGCCACGGGCAATGGAACAACTTGTTTCATCTTCCTTTCCTTCTGAATTGCTTTCTGAAGGCTACCTTCAGAGTGGGGTGTTTGGCTTTCATTTACTCACTGTTTGAAGCATGCAAGTGTAGCCTAAATAAAGCATAACATAGTCACTAACTTGTGTGCAGGTAGTGGTTATTGTGCGGTGCGAAACCAATACAATCATAAACACGTTTCCCCGTCTTCTCCCAATTAAAGCCAAGAGACATAAGTGTGGTATAAAACAGGCCACAGCTTTATTTATAAATAACAAGCATAAATATATAAACCAATAATTTTACTCGAAACTCGTCCTTGCCAACCGAACCATAACAACTCTAGAGTACCCCCTTCCAGGGTACCTGCCCTCCCCCCTCGTCCAAGATAACTGGCCTTTACCTTGGCCTTCCAATTCCCCATGCCAACCCCTGGCCGCCTTTTACTGGCACGGGGGGCACGCCCAATTACCAAAAAACTCTCCGAGGTTAGGGGAGGGACTAGACCCAGCATTCCTTCTTCCAGTGTACTCGTTTTTCCAACTGGTTTGGCAAGGACCATACCCGCCAGCTGTGACAAGAAAGAAAGTTAGAGATATACAATAAGAAAACGATCTACAATCAAGGGTGGGCGGGAGGGAAGATGTTACCAGCCGTTATTTTTAAGATGGCTGAGGTAAGGGACAAAATGACTGCCCTTTATATGACCCCACCCCACCTCTAGCCTAAGTGACACCCCCCCCACATGTGACACCTACACCCACCACACCCACACATGCCTCCTATCCGGCTAGCTTTCAGCCCGCCTCCTCTGGGCCTAAACAATGAAATGTGGTGAATTGAAAATTCAGATTGTAAAATGTAGTCCAGAATGACTACAGACTATTGCAGAATTTGAGAAGATTTTCCAACTTGGCTACTTTAACCTTAATTTGGCATCTTTAAAATTCATTTATTCAGGAATTGTCTCGAATGAGTTGACAATTGCCACAGCTTACTGTTTATTGAATAGACTCTTACTTGTTATTGTCAGATCCACCACGGCTTATAGGACATATGGACAGTACAGAGCATCATCATATTACATTGATAAACCAGACACACTTAGCTTCTGTCTACTATGTTTTGGGATATGCCTAATGCAATACCATCAATATACCGAAGTCATGCAGATGTCTTGAAATTGAGTCCATATTCATCGTGTTCATTGATGCATTCCTGAGATGGCTAGATTGCCTAATATATCAGTAAAACCTTTAAACATATCACATTACTCAGAGCCAGGGCCGGATTGGGGAAAAAATTTGACCCGGGCATTTTTTGAACCACAGCAGCCCACTGAGAAGGGAGCGGGCCAGAGAGGGCGGGTGTTTTGTCATCTCCAATGACAAGCATGCCCCTTCTCAAAGTGAGCAGGATGGTTCAATCCGCAAAGCCCTGCTGAAGAGCTCTTGCATGAAAAAAGGCCCTGTATTTGTTCTATGCAGGGCAAGCAAATTTATTAACATGCTTGTGCTGTGTTTGCTTGTGACATTTCTCTGGTATCTCCATAAGTGGGATACCAGAGAACAATAGTGTAAGCAAAATGTATTGTACATGTGTTTAGATCCTGCTTGTGAGATTGAGTTTGTGTAGAGTTAGTTCATTGTGGTGTGGTGTTTTGTGTAAATGTCAGTTTAATTTGTGTTGTGTTTGTGGTGTAATATGTATAGTTAGGGGCTGTAGATAGTGTGAGTAAATGTGATGTAGCGAGTGTGTGCATTGGGGCTGTTGTGTATGTGTGTATAGATTATATAGTGTGTTTAGAGGTTGTAAAGTGTGTGTGTTTAGGGAAAGTAGGCGTGTTTTTGCTTACAGGAGATCTAGTGTGTTCATAGGGGATACAAACAACAAAAGAAGAATTCAATTTGTGGCGCTAGATGATGCAGCTAAAACACACTGGTGGGAACAATCACAGAAAATCCCACAAAAACAGAATACACAAACAACACAAAAAGTGTGTAGCGCATATACAAAGTTCACACCATACCCTGAATATCAGTGTATACCAAGTGAGTAGGTGCAAACACAGAATAAATACCCAAATATTGGAGCAATCAAAAGGAGTTGTGTACCTATACATAAGAACATAAAAATAAAAACAAACACATAGCATAATGCTGTAGTGTAATAGGAGTGGAAAATCAACTTCTGTTTGGTCCAACTCACATACTCAAGAGCCTGTTCACAAGAAAAACTGGTTTAGGTAGTAGCGTTTAGGGGTATAAACTTGAATAAATTCCAGTAGGTGTAGCTTGATCCTCAAAAGAAGAGGCTCAGGAAAGGCATACCGATTAGAAATAAAAGTATAATCATTTATTTAACAAATATATAAAATCTTACATTCAAAATGCAGTAATGCTGTTTCCAATAAGCACAACGCGTTTCAACGAATAAACGTCTTCCTCAGGTGCAATAGTTACATCAAGCTTCACCCAAGTATTTAAATCCCCCATATTGGCGTGGGGGGGGGATCCAGAGTGTTTAATGTCTTTAATGTAGTGTGTGTAGGTGATGGATTGTGGGATAGGGGATCTATTGTGTGCATAGGGGATCTAGTGTGTGTGGAGAACCCAGAGTGTGCATAGCAGATTTAGTGTGTGTGTGTGTAGAGGATTCAGAGTGTGTATAGGGATTCTAGTGTGTAGATGTGTAGAGGATCCATAGTTATGTATGGTAACTAGGGTGTGTGTATAAGGGATGTAGTTTGTGTGTATAATGTGTCTCTAGAATGTAGTGTGTGTGAAGAGTGCACGGTGTGTATGAAGGGTGCAGGATGTGTGAGTTAGGGGTGCAGTGTGTGAGTTAGGGGTGCAGTGTATGTGTGTTGGGGTGCAGTGTGTGTGTGTTGGGGTGTAGTGTGTGCTGAGGTGATGTGTGGTGTTTGGGGTGCAGTGTGTGTGTGAGAGGTGCAGGGTGTGCGTTTGAGGCATGTACTGGTTTCATAGTGTTTTTGAAAGTTACAGGGTCAAATATAAGGCTTGCCCATTTAATTTTTTTCATTGAAACTTGCCAAATTGGTTATGTTGCCTTTGAGACTGTATGGTAGCCCAGGAATAAGAATTGGCATACCATTTGCAAACGTAGACAACTCAAGGTATTGCAAATAGGGTATGTCCAGTTTTTTCTAGTAACCACTTAGTCACAAACACTGGCCAAAGTTAGAGTTCATATTCGTTTTTTGCATTTTTCACACACAAACAAATATAAATGCTAACTTTGGCCATTGTTTGTGACTAAGTGGCTTAAACAAAAGACTGGACATACCCCATTTTGAATACCCTGGGCTGTCTACTTTTTCCAAATGGTATGTCATGGTGGGGTTTATTTTCATTTCTGGGCTGCCATACCGTCTCAGAGGCAACATAGCCAATCTGGCAAATAGCAATAGCAAACCCTGTAACTTTCCAAATCACCATAAAAGCTATACTTGAGGGGTACTGTTCGGTGCAAGCCGGTGCAGATGTTGCCCTCCGCTGCGGCGAGCAGGTTTGGTGCTGGCTTGGTTGAGCGCTCGGTAGTGTTACCTGGAGGGTGGGCTGGTGCATACCGGCTGCTGGGTCAGAGATCTGGCTATGGTCGGTTCATATGTTTGTTTAGGCTGGAGCTTATCCTCCAGATTTGCCCAGAAGTTGGCGAAGTAAGAGTCCAGTCGGGCTAAAATTGCGTTGATGTAGGCCTCGGCTGAGGGGACACTTGTTTCCATCGCCATTTTGCTTGTGTGGTGCTTTTCAGCGCTGGTTTCAGGAGGTAGTGGTGTGTGTTCTCCTGGGACCGGGATGACCCCCGCCGGTCCAAAAGGGAAGGAGGGTGCAGAAGTCCGATTGACTAGTCGTGTTTAGCACCCTGAGAGCGGCCGTCCCTCCGACGCCAGAAGTGCTAGTAGGCCGCACCGAGTGTCAGCGTGGCGGCACCGACTAGACTGGTATCAATTTTGGTGTAAATCGATTTGTCGTGGTCTCTGCTGTGCGGTTTGCTGTTTATTGTGTTGTGAACTGCTGGCTGGCTTAAATTATCAGGCGTTTTGTCGTGAGGAGCCCAGGAGCTCATGAAGCATGCTTCCATTCGGCTTGCCAGTCAGGCTCCGCCCCCCCAAAATACCCCAAGTTTAATACCCTAGGTTGTCTTCTTTTAAAAAATATATACATGTGAAGGGTTATTCAGGGATTCCTGACAGATATCAGTGTTACAATGTAATTAGCGTTAATTTTGAAAAAACATGGTTTGGAAATAGCAAAGTGCTACTTGTAGTTATTGCCCTATAACTTGCACACAAAAAAAAGCTACGAACATGTTAACATTGGGTATTTCTAAACTCAGGCCAAAATTTAGAAACTATTTAGCACGGGTGTTTTATGACGGTTGTAGATGTGTAACGGATTTTGGGGGTCAAAGCTAGAAAAGGTGTTTAAAAAAAAATAAAAAAATTATTTATAGTAAATTATATGATGAAAAAAATTGGTATCTCTAGAAAGACCATTTAGTGGCAAGAAAAATGGTATATAATATGTGTGGGTACAGTAAATGAGTAAGCAGAACATTACAGCTAAAGACAAACACAGCAGAAATTTAAAAACAGCCCTAGTCCCAAACGGTAAGAAAATTAGAAAGTGGTCTGGTCACTAAGGGATTAAAGGACTTTAAGCCCATATTCATTACTTAACTGTATTTAACTTCAATTTATTTTGGTAAACAGCTGAAATAACAAAACTTGTGTTAGTGTCCAAATATTTCCGGACCTAACTATAAATATATTAAGATAGAAGTATATATTTTATTTTGTAGATTATAGAAAGTGGAGGAATATATATATATATTTTATAAATCTTTATTTAGAGAGTACATACACATATAAAGGCAGATTTTCAAGTGATTACATTTGTGTTTTGTATATTTGTTATGCAACCTACGTAAAGTACAGTCTGGACGCATAGTCATTCTCAGCCCGTCCGGAACAGTTGCTTTCTAGGACCATCCCTCAATCTCCCCGAGCCCACCCAGTTAACCCTTTCTTTATACAGTGACTCAACAAGTAGGCTAAGGCATATTGTATGTGTTTACCTGCAAGAACAGAGTGCGACACATGCATGCAATAGGCCTTATGGGAGTGAGCGCCCCAGGATCTCCCTTCAACACATATATGCACCCCCTTTATTTCTTTTCTTTTTTGTTATATACAACAGGAAATTCACTTCTATCCCAGCTTCCCCAAAGCCTAGCAATCGCCATTCCCCGGTGATTTCCAATTTGCAGGTACCAGTTTAAATTTGAGACCAGTAGCATGGGAATTTTATCATCAATAACAATCATTAGTACTTATAGACTTTTTGTATTCAATAAGAGTTTATTGAAATAGATTGGTGGACAGATTGAAGAGGTAACACAAAAAGGTTACAACTGTAAAGATTCCTAAAATGTTGACTACATTTTGCATATGTGTACAGGAAAAAGGTTCAAACAATAGTGACAGAAAAGCATATCATCATGTTGAATGATGGAATGGATTGTCAAGGCACACATCTTGATATGGGGTAAAAGATTCTTAATCCAGTTGTCACCAAAGGTGAAGTCCCAATAAAGCCTGGGTGATACTGCCCCAGGTAACTATCAAAGAAAAAAATAATACAAAATAGAAGAAAAATAAAAAGGAGGAATGAGAAGAAAAGAGAGAAAAAAATCGATATATATAAATACATACATACATACACACGCGTACAGATACATTCATGTATACATTATACCCATACAAACAAAGCCAGAGTAGATCTTCTTGCACAAAGATTCACCTGAACTCATCCAGAAACCCACCCCAAGCATTATTTCCACTTGGATCCCACTGAATACAAACAGAGAACAGGATTGACAACAGTACAATGGAATGGAATGTTTGCTGTGTTAAGCAATTGAGGGTCTATCGAGCTATGTTGTCTATGTTGTGAGTGGTAATGGTGTGTGATGTAATAGCATTGCTGCAAGGATACGCATTAAAGGACAATGTAGACCATCTTCCAAAGCTTCTCAACCAAAGTGCAATCACACCATATGTGTAGCAAGGTGCCTTCTGCCTCACCGCAGCACCAGCACAAACCTCGTATTTAAAGAGTTGCAGGGGTCTGGAGCAGATTTTATAAGAGACCTCTTGCCACCATCCTGAATGTGATATCTTATGGACTTGCAAGTCCTCCTCCCACTTGTTTGTGTAAGGTGGAGGAGCTGGTACCAATTGTTGACCAATAAATAATTATAAATAATGGTGTGGGGCCTTCCTCATAGAACAATTCAAATGTTGTAAGTTCCTGTAAGAAGCACCACCTCTGAGGTATACAATGCAGATAATGTAAGATCTGAGCATGGGTAAGTGTGTAAAAGAATGTGTGAGATGGGCTCAAAAATATTTAAAATAGGGGAATCAAGGAAGGGCTGCCATATTAATCGACAGGACGGCTCTTTCCTGAGAAATCCAGATTTCAGAGGTGTCTTTATGGCACCAGTGGAGAGCTCGCAAAAGATATGCTTCCAAATAGTAATTTTCAAACTCAAGGGTGCGCTGTGTCTTTAAGACAAGAAAAGTGCAATGTATCTTTAAAAACACTCCAGTGCTTCAAAAAAACACACAAAACTCTATTCAATAAATGTGTTACTATTACACACTCTACAATAGTGCAAAAAAAGTGCAAGTGTGCAAATAACACTTTTATACCAATGTATTGGTGAGAGTTGGTAATTTTTAAATACCACTTTTCTATCAGTGTATTGGTGAAAAATTAGTAGAAAAAACGGAGCACTTACAATACCCCGCTATATGTACCTTAGGTCTGGTTACTCCAGTTTTGCATACATATGTATAAAAAATAAATAAAAGAACATAGTGTAATACAGTATTATAAATTATGTTATTAGAACAATAAATAGTGTTAAACTCACAAGTGGAGAGCAGAGAAGTCTGCTCTAACTTTATCCGCTTCTTTTGTAAAGCCAAAAGGTCATAGGACAGCAGCAAGTTGAAAGAAACACTTTTTTATTTCCAAAACAAATCTTCACAATATTAAAAAATAGTCCCCCAAGTGGTATCGCTTTGCTCACTCAGTCTCTCTATGGAAGGCGTACTGCATACAGTTTCGCTGCCGGCTAGCACCGTACTGCAATCACTTCCTGGAGGCGGAGCCTAATGACGTAACCACGGGACGTACGTGATGACGCGTTTCGCCACAAAATCGGCTTCCTCAGATCACACTTCCATTCTGCTGCTGTCTTGCTTTTAAGTCCGTTTTCACAGGTGTATGTCCACCTATTAAGTCCTCATTAGTGTAACCCCTTAATATCTTGACAGAAATCTTCATTCAATTATTCATTCCCAGGGTCATATCTCCTAAATCAAATTTTTCCTTACATATGAAAAAAACACTAATTTATACTAAAACACATTTATCAGTCACATACATAAAAAACATAGATTAAAAAACTAAAAGTATCTCTTAGCTATAATTATTAAAACATACTAAAAAATATATAATAAAAAATATCAATATATATTATAAAAAATTATATAAATCAAATTCTATATTTAAACCTCTCGGTTCCAAAGTTCCTAAACGGTGTACCCATTTCATTTCTTCTTTACCTATTGCATTTATATGATCTCCTCCTCTCCAAGATTTATTAACTATTTGAATTCCTAAGAAAATTAACCCATTTGGATCCCTTTTATGGTATTTATTAAAATGGGCTGACACACTATGTTGCTCAAAGCCACGTTTTATATTATATACATGCTCATAAATACGTTTGTGAAGGGGACGTATTGTTCGACCCACGTATTGTAACCCACATGGACAAATCAGCAAATAAACAACATTTTTACTACAGCAAGTAATAAAATCTTTTATAACAAATTCCTCTTCTTTTTCTCTTGCTTTAAATTTGCTTATCCCTTTTAAAGTTCTATTTTTACTGCATTTGCAGCCCATACATTTTCCACATGAATAAAAACCGCTTTTATTATTTAAGAACGTTGTTCTAACTTCTTTTCTAGGATGATTAAAGGTAAGGAGTCTTTTAAAATTTGGGGCACCTCTAAAAGTGATAAAAGGTCTCTCTGGTAAAATTTTTCCCAAATCTTTATCTTTCTTTAATAAAGGCCAATGTCTATTGATTATGGATCTAATTTTTCTAGAATCACTATTAAAATCAAATACTAAGGGCATCTTTATATCTTTTTCTTCAGTCGATCTGTTCTTTTGTCCCACAATTAAATCTTCCTGATCAAGTGTAATTACTTCCTCATATGCTCTATTTAATATATTTTTCGGATATTTCTTTTCCGTAAATTTATCCATAAGGATACTTGCTTGATCTTTAAAAACATCTATTTCTGTGCAATTCCTTCTCAGACGTTGTAGTTGTCCTTTTGGAATATTATCTAACCACGGGGAATAGTGGCCACTATTATATAGCACATAACTATTTGCATCAACTTTTTTAAAATAGTTTCTAGTTTTTATACTCCCTCCTTCTATATAGATATCCAAATCTAGAAAGCTAATGTTATTTTTACTGTGAGAACTAGTAAGATGAATCCCCCAGTCATTTGCATTCAATTTATTTAGAAAATTTTCTAAACTTGACTCCGTACCTCTCCATATAAAAAACATATCGTCAATGTACCTGTAATAGGAGACTAGGTCCACCCCCCATTCGCAACTGTTATAAATATTAATATTTTCCCAACTTGACATAAATAAATTAGCGTAGCTGGGGGCGAACCTAGTCCCCATAGCGGTGCCTTGACATTGAAGATAAAATTGGGAATTAAAGAAAAAATAATTATTATTTAAAATCCATCGTATACTATCTATTAAAAATTCTACATGGGAATGACTGAATTTTCCAGATTCTTCTAGAATCTTTTTAATCTCTCTACACCCTAAATCATGAGTGATTGAGGTATATAAAGAAGAGACATCACTAGTAACAAGTATAAACGAATCCTCCCATTTTATTTTCTTTAGGATTTTTATTACTTCTGTAGTATCCTTCAGATAAGATGGGATTATCTTTACTAGATCTTGTAGCCATATGTCGACATATTTAGATAAATTAGCCGATATTGACCCTATCCCCGAAACAATTGGCCTTCCTGGGGGGCATCTAATATTTTTGTGTACCTTTGGTAATGTATAAAAAACCGGTAGTCTTGGATGCTCAACTTTTAAAAAATTATATTCTTTCTCGCTAAGGACTCCTGTATTTCTACCCTTTTCTAATAATACATATAAAGATTCTTTAATTTCTTGAGTAGGGTCCTTTTTTAGACATTTATATACTTTTACTTCCCCTAATTGTTTATTACACTCTTTCAAATAGTCCTCTGTATTTTGTATTACTATACTCCCCCCCTTATCCGCCGGCTTGATGACTATATCCTTATTAGTCCTTAATTCTTGTAAAGATCTCCTCTCACTAAAGCTCAGATTATGAAGTCTTCTCTTCTTATTATTACTTGTATCTAGTTCCTCAAAATCTTCTAAAACACATTTCTCGAACATATCTATAGCACTTGTTCTATAATTTCTTGGATAGAATGTAGATCTATTTCTTAAACTGGTATGATCTTTATCTTCTATCTTATTGTCACATTTATTTATAGAAAAAAACCTTTTTAATGTCAAGTTCCTAGAATATTTTAGCATATCCACATATGCTGAAAAAGAATTAAAACCTACATTGGGGGCAAATTTAAGACCCTTATTTAGAATCCTAATTTCATCTTTAGTAGGGTTATACTTGGAGAGATTTATTACTCCCTCCAATTTGATGTCCTTCCTCTTTTTCCTATACTGTAATTCTCGTCCTCCTCTACATCCTCTATATCCCTGTATCTCCTTCTTTTTTGAGGTGAGAAGGTTACCCTTCCTTTTCTCTCCCCTAAAAAATCTTTATGTTCTGATTGTAAATTATCATCTGAAAGGATTTCAAAACGGTTCCTTAGTTCGGTATCCTTTCTTTGCTGTACATAGGGCGGACTCCTACCTTGTCTATTTCTATTCAGTTGGTATTTATTTTTCGGTTCTACTTTTGTCCAATTATATTGTTTCCTATTCTCTGGTGTTTTCCACTGAGTCCGTTCTGAATATTTGACAGTATTTGCTCTTTTCCAATAAGGATGATTGGGGGAGTCTGACTTATATTTATAATTATACTCTTTTTTCTCTCTGTATAAATTCGTATAAGTTCTAACTCTATTATTCTTATAATCTTGCATATCCCTCTTGTATTTCTTATGCTTGATCTCTTTCACTTGTATCTCCAATTTATTTAAATTGTCCTTAGTTTTCTTAGTTAGTTCATCATAATCTCTAGTACCCAATGTTGGTTCTAATAGTTTTTGGATTTCTTTTACCTCCTTATCTAAATCTTCCAGGCCTTCAGTTCTACAGGCAATAACTATACTCATCATCTCCCTAGAGAATCTTTCTAATGCATCATTCCAAATGTCTACATATTTTTTATTCTTTTCATTCTCAAATGTAGGTGTCTTAGAGAACCTTAGACCTCTAGGGGTGATGTTATCTTTTAAATATCTATTTAGGGTGGCAATTTCACATTTATATTTTATTTCTTTTGCTAGAATTTTTTCGAGAAAGAATATAATTTTTTAAAAGTTGAGCATCCAAGACTACCGGTTTTTTATACATTACCAAAGGTACACAAAAATATTAGATGCCCCCCAGGAAGGCCAATTGTTTCGGGGATAGGGTCAATATCGGCTAATTTATCTAAATATGTCGACATATGGCTACAAGATCTAGTAAAGATAATCCCATCTTATCTGAAGGATACTACAGAAGTAATAAAAATCCTAAAGAAAATAAAATGGGAGGATTCGTTTATACTTGTTACTAGTGATGTCTCTTCTTTATATACCTCAATCACTCATGATTTAGGGTGTAGAGAGATTAAAAAGATTCTAGAAGAATCTGGAAAATTCAGTCATTCCCATGTAGAATTTTTAATAGATAGTATACGATGGATTTTAAATAATAATTATTTTTTCTTTAATTCCCAATTTTATCTTCAATGTCAAGGCACCGCTATGGGGACTAGGTTCGCCCCCAGCTACGCTAATTTATTTATGTCAAGTTGGGAAAATATTAATATTTATAACAGTTGCGAATGGGGGGTGGACCTAGTCTCCTATTACAGGTACATTGACGATATGTTTTTTATATGGAGAGGTACGGAGTCAAGTTTAGAAAATTTTCTAAATAAATTGAATGCAAATGACTGGGGGATTCATCTTACTAGTTCTCACAGTAAAAATAACATTAGCTTTCTAGATTTGGATATCTATATAGAAGGAGGGAGTATAAAAACTAGAAACTATTTTAAAAAAGTTGATGCAAATAGTTATGTGCTATATAATAGTGGCCACTATTCCCCGTGGTTAGATAATATTCCAAAAGGACAACTACAACGTCTGAGAAGGAATTGCACAGAAATAGATGTTTTTAAAGATCAAGCAAGTATCCTTATGGATAAATTTACGGAAAAGAAATATCCGAAAAATATATTAAATAGAGCATATGAGGAAGTAATTACACTTGATCAGGAAGATTTAATTGTGGGACAAAAGAACAGATCGACTGAAGAAAAAGATATAAAGATGCCCTTAGTATTTGATTTTAATAGTGATTCTAGAAAAATTAGATCCATAATCAATAGACATTGGCCTTTATTAAAGAAAGATAAAGATTTGGGAAAAATTTTACCAGAGAGACCTTTTATCACTTTTAGAGGTGCCCCAAATTTTAAAAGACTCCTTACCTTTAATCATCCTAGAAAAGAAGTTAGAACAACGTTCTTAAATAATAAAAGCGGTTTTTATTCATGTGGAAAATGTATGGGCTGCAAATGCAGTAAAAATAGAACTTTAAAAGGGATAAGCAAATTTAAAGCAAGAGAAAAAGAAGAGGAATTTGTTATAAAAGATTTTATTACTTGCTGTAGTAAAAATGTTGTTTATTTGCTGATTTGTCCATGTGGGTTACAATACGTGGGTCGAACAATACGTCCCCTTCACAAACGTATTTATGAGCATGTATATAATATAAAACGTGGCTTTGAGCAACATAGTGTGTCAGCCCATTTTAATAAATACCATAAAAGGGATCCAAATGGGTTAATTTTCTTAGGAATTCAAATAGTTAATAAATCTTGGAGAGGAGGAGATCATATAAATGCAATAGGTAAAGAAGAAATGAAATGGGTACACCGTTTAGGAACTTTGGAACCGAGAGGTTTAAATATAGAATTTGATTTATATAATTTTTTATAATATATATTGATATTTTTTATTATATATTTTTTAGTATGTTTTAATAATTATAGCTAAGAGATACTTTTAGTTTTTTAATCTATGTTTTTTATGTATGTGACTGATAAATGTGTTTTAGTATAAATTAGTGTTTTTTTCATATGTAAGGAAAAATTTGATTTAGGAGATATGACCCTGGGAATGAATAATTGAATGAAGATTTCTGTCAAGATATTAAGGGGTTACACTAATGAGGACTTAATAGGTGGACATACACCTGTGAAAACGGACTTAAAAGCAAGACAGCAGCAGAATGGAAGTGTGATCTGAGGAAGCCGATTTTGTGGCGAAACGCGTCATCACGTACGTCCCGTGGTTACGTCATTAGGCTCCGCCTCCAGGAAGTGATTGCAGTACGGTGCTAGCCGGCAGCGAAACTGTATGCAGTACGCCTTCCATAGAGAGACTGAGTGAGCAAAGCGATACCACTTGGGGGACTATTTTTTAATATTGTGAAGATTTGTTTTGGAAATAAAAAAGTGTTTCTTTCAACTTGCTGCTGTCCTATGACCTTTTGGCTTTACAAAAGAAGCGGATAAAGTTAGAGCAGACTTCTCTGCTCTCCACTTGTGAGTTTAACACTATTTATTGTTCTAATAACATAATTTATAATACTGTATTACACTATGTTCTTTTATTTATTTTTTATACATATGTATGCAAAACTGGAGTAACCAGACCTAAGGTACATATAGCGGGGTATTGTAAGTGCTCCGTTTTTTCTACTAATTTTTCACCAATACACTGATAGAAAAGTGGTATTTTAAAAATTACCAACTCTCACCAATACATTGGTATAAAAGTGTTATTTGCACACTTGCACTTTTTTTGCACTATTGTAGAGTGTGTAATAGTAACACATTTATTGAATAGAGTTTTGTGTGTTTTTTTGAAGCACTGGAGTGTTTTTAAAGATACATTGCACTTTTCTTGTCTTAAAGACACAGCGCACCCTTTTCTTTGTATTATTATATTTTTAGTGTTTTATGGGCTATTGCACTTTATAAGGGAGCTGCTTCATAGGTTTTAAGGTTGTTATTATTTTAGACGTGTATTGAGCGCCTTTTTTTACTTGTCTTCTCTCTTGTTGTACAATTTTCAAACTCAAGCAATGCCAGACTTCCCCGTAACTTAGGTAACACTAGGTGTGTCAGACCTTATTAAGGTGGATTCTTGTTGGAACACAAATACAAATATCTTTAAACTTGCAATGAACAAACAGTCAGAGCAAGCTGGATAATATAGATGTAAGGAGCATAAACAGTAGAGCCGCTACTATAGTAGAAGTTACAGTTGACAGTACAGAATCGGCTGGCAAAATCAAGATCAAATTCGGATCTGGGTTTAGGTTTGGAGAAGGCAGTGTATACGAGAAAACTAGCAGGTTCAACAACAAATCAAAGAGTAGAGTTCACACTGTATCGATCAGTAACAACATAGTAACTGAGCAATACACTTTTGCACTGAGCACACTTTTAACTAGGATGGCATTTGTGTGTGTTATGTGAAGGTGTGACCACATTAAATGTGGAAGTTGAAGCTACAGTGTGAAGGAGAGAAGCATTGACCAGAACATAGGAGAGATTGTGCGAGCAGGAAAGAGGTGAGCCCTGACAAGCTGTGAGTACGTAAGTCAAGGAGTCAATGATGCCAGATGAAACCTCTAATCACATAGTTGTTAAAAATAGGCTGGAGGGAATATAAATTGGAATTGTTTGAAACAAAAAGAGCAGATGCGGGAGTGTAGACATTTTGATTACACTGATATATCCCTGCCATTCATGGACTTTTTGGGGTAAATTTACATATATTAAGAGATCCTCCATTTTTATATAGAGGGCATATTTTTAACTTGTGTTCAATGTGAGTATATGGAAGTTCATCGAGCAAGGCCTTTAACCCCACTGGCCCTGTGTGTTCATCTTGTCTGGTTTCAACTACGTTTTCTGCTAGTCCACCCATTGTACAGCGACGCGGAATCTCTTGGCGCTTTATAAATAAATAATAATAATAACAATAATATATAGATTATGTTAAAAGCAGCTGTTTTAGTTGTATTTATATATTTATGGTTGATAAAGTTCCCTTAGTAGTCTTTGCAATAAGAAGCAGTGTTATGTTGGGGATTTAAATGGTTTATGCGCATTTATTCACATGGTCCAAGATGACACCTTTCTATACTGACTATTATTTAGAGCAATGTCATTTGTTCTAAACTGGCTAAGTGTACATTTTTAAAGTTGAAGCACATTTAAAGTTCTGATTTAAACACAAAGAGCACTATTTTTTTTTTTTTTTACACATGAACACCTTTTGAAGAAAGGTCCAGAAACAAGAAAAAAAAAACCCTTATTAAAGTGTAGTTATATTTTTACATGGTTTGTACTGATGTTACATGTTCTGTATATAGTCACTGAACATAAAAGGTGATATTGTCCAAATGTAGTTTGCTTTTTTTCTATATTCTATTAATTTAACATATAAACAGGTTTCATATTCTGGTTAGTATAACCAGTTTGTTTTCTTTATCTTAGTTGATCCATTTGGTAAAGGCTGGGAAGAAATATGCAGTGAGATCATGTATGATTGCGAAGATGAAACAAATGCTCGGGTACAGAAGGTAAGGCCTGGTCCATGCAGATCTAAACCGTGTGTTAGTATAATACACAATTATTACCAAAGAAAACCAAGGGGACCGCACTCCATTCCAAATGACCACCGGGTGCTTAAATGAAGTAGGACAAGCAAATCCAAAATAATGTAGAAGGATAAATTACGAAATATTAATGGAACAGATCACAGTGTGTATTATACTAGCAAAAGAGATATTTAGAGCAAGGTTTCAACCTTCTACAAGGTCTTTGTCAAGCTTGACCTTGTAGAAGGTCAAAACGTTTCTGTCACCTCATTTGATCCAATAAATCTGCTTGCTGTTTGAACACTGCAAGTGCCTGAAGATCTCTTTTTCTGCTCGTATAATAAGTACACTCATATCAATATAGTTACAGCACGTTACAGCACGTGATCACTGTTTTTTTTAATTTCTATCAATTACTCAAGACAAAGTCATGCAGGGGACTTGTGGAAAAGTGCATCCAGATTTTGTACATGTAGCCATGCTTTGTAAAATAGTTGTTAGATGATCTCAGTACCCTCTTCCCTCCCATAACAGGTTCACAATGGAATTTGATTTGTGAACACTTTGCTTGATTTGTGAATGAATGAGATTAACTGGTGGGTTCCTTTGCACACCTACAGAGAAGCACTGCAGGTACTTAGGCTTGCTATATGTACAAGAGGATACAGGTTAATCAGGTTTGTAAAGTGGAGTATATTAACTCCATGGGCCTCGACTCTGAACTTTTGGATTAGAGGTCACTGTGACGGTAGTAAGCCTTATAACCGTCCAGTATTCCCCTTTTCCCAATAGCAGAATAACAACAATAATCCATAGGGTAAAATAACGCTGGTATCGCCAAATAATCCACACATGAGCCAAAGCTTAATGCTGGAACAAGACTGATTTACTGGAAGCAACAGGCATTCAATTTATACAGTACAAGTCCTCCTCTGGGCCAGGCTAGATAATTGAGTTTCAGCAACATACTAAACTCAATTATCTGCTGGCCAGAAACATTAACAATTTTCCACATTTTTAAAAATATACTTTATACATGTAATAGAAATATAAAAACCACATCCTGGGTAGCTGAGGATACTAGGAGTAACATATCCAAATTGCACGAAAATCCATTCGGTAGTTTTCGTGTCGCATCATGTGGAAGTTTGACCGGCTCGCCATGTGTTTGTATCCGAGTTAGAGTTCCATGAAATTGGTAGCAAGAGTTCATGCGGAATTACACGAAAACCACCACAGTTATACGGCATCTGGTTACATGTGAATGCTCCCCTCATTCGGTTGATTGAAACTCCCGAACGCCAGTTTGATACTGTAAGTGGAAATCGGTCAGACGGGACTTCCATAGAGACCGGGTGTTCGTGTGATTGCCCTGCCAAAAATGGTTCCATGCAATCATCGAGTAAGTCCCGCTGGCTGCGTTCGGGAGATCTAAGATGGCCGCCATCGTGTTCGAATGCCGAATGGCGGCCACCTAGAAGCACTCAATTACCTTGCGGTTTTCGTGGTTACTTGGTGTTCTAAGTTCTGATTGCTACCCAGGGTGGTCTCTGTTCGGTAGAACAAGTAAATGTTCACAGAAATAACAACGAATACTTTACAGTCACTTAACTAGCAGGGAGAGGAAATAACCGAATGGATACAGGTAAACACAAGGAAATCCTTTACAGTCACTAACCTAGCTCATATGCAAACATCACGAGTATAACCAACCATTTTGCCTTGGACACTAGCTGATGCCTCGCCACAGATTCCAATAAAAGAAAGGTTTGGTTATATGTTGGATTTCATCGATATGACTTGACTTTCCCAAAGTACACCCGACATGCAGTGTTATACCAGAATATTTGAAAAACAAGGGGCAAAACTAACTCTTCCTCCTGCTAGGATACCCCTATATCAGTACAACAGACTCCACATATAACTAAATACTCAAGGTAAAAACCCTGTAACATACCGTGAGTATTGCACGGTATTTGCCCTTTTTTTTAGTAAGGGTCGTTAGTGACTCTTTTTAACAGTTTTTGTAGAGCGGTACCTGGAAGATAATTCCTAGAATCTCCCATTTTTAACAGAGGAGGGTAATTTCCATTTTCAGGGTTTCTCTAGAGACTACAAAGGTTGATTCTTTTAATTGTCCGCGTGTGGCTTGTCTCCAGTTTTGCCTGTTTTAGACATAAAAGACTTCTTTCTCATTGTGCATTTTCTCTACAGATAAGCAGTAATTAAAAACTAATTAAAATATATTATAATGAGAAAACACTTACAAAATGCACTGCTCAGAACAAACACAAAACTCTTATTTGTCAAGGACATTTTCAGGGAACTACTGTGTGATGTCACCGCGTGGTGCCTATCAAACAGTAAAATAAAGTATTGCTATGAAATAATTGTTAATCCCTTTATTAATATTCATGTTCAGGATTTGTGGATTTTTTCATAACTCAGTCTGAACTACTTTAAAGGGTCTATTTTATAAGATGTCAACATATCCTATCCTTCAGAAACAGAAGATTAGCTGAAGACAGCATACACACTAAGAAAAAAAAAGTCAATTTATCTGTCATTTCTAATGTTTCCCCACAGCTACTAATTGCTCCAGGGGGCTTATTCCTTAATGACCTATTTTGTACGTTAGGTTCATGAGCTTTTTTAATTAGGTGTTTACTCAACTATAAATTCCCTTTTTCTCACTTACCACACTTAAAGCGGCTCTGTCACTTTGCAAGTTTAAATTAATCCTTTTTGTCCCTATATTTTATATTTTTTTAATTAAATTAATCCTTTTTGTCCCTATATTTTTTATTTTTTTGAAATTCACTTTTTTAGTTATACAGAAAATGTATTTGCTGTTTAGTAGTAAATCACCAGAAATATTACTCATATTGTGTTTAGTATAAAAATAGACCAAGCCTTTATTATTATAGTTAAAATAAATACAAAATCGCTCAAAAAGGGGGAAAAATTGAAAAAAAGCTGCTTAACACATTTTGTGGATAACTGCGCTTTTTTCAAAGGTTGGGACATCTTTTCTTATGGGGACCATGGTCTTTGGCAAAGTTACAGTTCACTTTCTAAGATTATGTAGCTACAATCCGTTAGTCACCAAAGGGCAAACTGCAGACATTTTGGACAGAGAACAAGAAAATGGAGACACCCAGGCAGGCCCTAACTGACCATTGGTCAGAGATGAGAGGATCTCTCCTGCCGGCCAAATACAGCAATACCCCCATGTATATCTGATTTCTGATAAGTTGTCAAATTGCAGACATACCAATTTCAGTTGTCAAATACCCAATTTCCATTGATTTATTTAGTAAAGCTTTTTGAGACCCTGGAAAAGAAGACAACTTAGGCTATTTAATATGCAACATCTTGACTCTTTTCACTTGGTCATTTCATCACCAGTTTCTGCTCATTTTAGTGGTAATTGTTTTTCACGTACATATTAAATTTTAATGGTATATGTCACATGCTTTATGTGTCCTGCTACTTCCAAGTCCCCAAATGTGTATTCGAGGCATCTCCCAAGTACAACAAAACCCCACGAATGGTAGCATACCTCTAACTATATAAATGTATTAGTTTGAATTCATTGCCAGATGGGAGTCCCAATTTTAATCCTAACACTATTACAAGTATTTTCAAGGACTGAATTCAACATATTACAGCCCTGAAGTCAGTATATTAAGGTGGCCTGAGGCACACCATCTAAAAACCTCTGCTTGAACTCACTGTATCTAACCCTTACCATATGTTTATGAATAAAAATAACCTTAAGGTGATGTATTATGACTTCCTTTGTCGACTAACAATTTTAGTAAAATTTTAGTTGACTAAAATTTCTGAGATTTAGTCGACTAGAACCAGACTAAAACTAAAACAATTCAGATGACTAAAATACGACTAAAACTAGCGTGGCTATTTAGTCAAAAGACTATGACTAAAACTAAAGTGAAATTTGCTGCCCAAATTAAAACTGCCTTAGAGTGTTGGTAGAAAGTACACAAGAGCAGTCCATGTAGCCAGATAAGATGGTGGCAACCCTATATATAGTTCAGCACACACAAAACACATTCTGCACAGATAATAGAAACTCCATTCATGTTTTTTATATTTATGTTCATGAATGGAGGACTTTGCACTCAACCATGTCCACAACGTAGGTACTTTTATACAAAATAATAAAAAAAATCTGTGAAAGTTAGTTTGTAATTTGTAGGGTTTACACCATGTGTCAGTGTGTATGTATTGAGTTCCTTAGACCATATAATGTGCAAGGAGCATTGTTGCCATGCTTAAAGGACCACTATAGTGCCAGGAAAACATACTCGTTTTCCTGGCACTATAGTGCCCTGAGGGTGCCCCCACCCTCAGGGTCCCCCTCCCGCCCGGCTCTGGAAAGGGGAAAAGGGGTTAAACTTACCTTTTTCCAGCGCTGGGCGGAGAGCTCTCCTCCTCCGATCCTCCCCGTTGGCTGAATGCGCACGCGCGGCAAGAGCTGCGCGCGCATTCAGCCGGTCACATAGGAAAGCATTCATAATGCTTTCCTATGGACGCTGGTGTGCTCTCACTGTGAAAATCACAGTGAGAAGCACGCAAGCGCCTCTAGTGGCTGTCAATGAGACAGCCACTAGAGGATTAGGGGAAGGCTTAACCCATTCATAAACATAGCAGTTTCTCTGAAACTGCTATGTTTATTAAAAAATGGGTTAACCCTAGAAGGACCTGGCACCCAGACCACTTCATTAAGCTGAAGTGGTCTGGGTGCCTAGAGTGGTCCTTTAAAGTGTTCATTTATTATGCACAAGGTGTCTGTTTAAAAGTTTTATCATGCATTAGTCACATGATGTGACATGTTTAGTCTTGTTTTTATCTATTTCATTTATTACCCAAGTAAATGACTACAATGAAAGCTATGGCTAATCGTTTTATTCCAACTTTGCAGGCTAGAGATCTCATCGAGAAATTCTTCATTCGGCAGCCGAATGTCCTGAAAAATGAATTTGGAGACCCCACAAAAATATATTATATTGAGCACAGCATTGAGATTACTCGTATTGACAATTGTCGTTCAGGCTTTGGAAAAAACGAGATCACACACAATGACTGCGCTAACTGCTGTGGTAAGAACTCCTTTTCATAAAAATTTGAACATTTCACTGGGGAGAAAAAAACATACAGTAACTTGTTTAAAATAACACTCCAAGCACTATAACCACTACAGTTCATTATAGTGGTTATGGTACCTGGACTATCCTCGCACTTCCCTGATTTAAGCAGGCAAGCCATTCAGTAATGTTTTGACTTCTTACCTGCGGTTTGCTGGGCACTATTCCCATTCTCCTCCAGAAGACTTGAACTTAGCCCAGCAGTGCAGGGCTTACCCCATTGGCTGAGAGCAATCAGCTGACACTTTCAGGTAATGAGAAGAGCTAATGGAGCAGACATCTCTGTCTTACAGTATGCTGTTGTGTTTATGGTATTGTGTTGCAGAATTTAGAAATTTCCAAGATTGCTACTATTTTGATTACTTATCTTTCATATAAAAATAAAAAAAATGAATTACATATAGAAATCCTTGCTGCTTTTATAGTCCTTGAACGGAGCGCCTTTATCTTGACTCCCAGTCAGTTAATGTTGTAAGCTCTGCCTCCTCACCTGTTAGTCAGAATAGAAATTGCAAAGAGAGAGGAGGAGAAACAGAAATACTGTCTTCCTCTCTCGACATCCACTGCAAGGTGTGCCCTGGCTGTGCCAAGATTAAACTGGATTGTCATATCAATTGCTATATCTGTAATATACGTTTAAAAGGAAACTGGGCTTTCAGGATTTTATTTAATATGATGTTCAATGTTTCATTTAATAGTGCAATTTCCAATGACGCGTCAGTTCCCCTTTAAGCAAAGCTGTATATTGAAGTGGAGAAAGCTGTCTTCTGGATTAGCCCTTTGTGCTGACCACAAGCCACAAACAGTCCTCTGTTATAGATCGCTATAATCCATCTTGCAGGGTAATTTGTAATGAAATGGACAGGTGCAATTAGCCATACAATGACTGACAATGAAAAATGACACTCATTTCCTCTGGCAGTGTTACATACTCTGTTAATGTTGACATGGGTAATTTGGGTAAACTATTGTAACAAGTAAATGGCACGTTACTATGGCCAATGGTATTTTTTGCAGGTCAATAAATAATATTGAAAAAGGAAAAATAAACTCTGAAAAATGAACAATAGAGGCTTAAAGGAACACTATAGGCCCCAAGAACACTTAATCATACTGACAGCCACTACAGGCACTTCTGCCGAATAGCATTGTAAAACTCCACTATTTCTATCAGGTGGTCTCATTGGCATGGCAATTTGCCGCACATGCACACTAGCCTCCCAATGCTTTCCTGTGGGTGACTAGGGCACCATAGCGTTAGGAATATACATTTGCATTCCTAATGCTATAGTGTTCCTTCAAATAATTATTTGTGTGTAATTGTTTACAGTGTTATTCACAAAATACTGATTTTTTTCCAGATGAATAAAATTTGGTTAAAATTATTGAATTACATCTGGTCTGGCAATTGGTTTGAAATCCAGTCATTACAATCTGTCTGATGCATTCAGATGCATTCAGTTTAAAATCTGTATTTTTCATATCCGAATTCTATATAACATATAGGATCTGGATATTTACAAAGCACAAATTTTATACAAAATCGTGACCGGATACATCCGATAGCATGCATATTTGCAAAATATCATTTACTTGCAAAAACAAAAGTGTGTATCTATGTGTGTATGTGTACCTTTGTGTTTGTATGTGTCAGTGTGTATCTGTATCTGTATGTGTACATGTCTGTGTGTATCTGAATGTGTGTATTTATGTGTGGAAGTGCACCAGTGTGTATCTGAGTGTATGTACATATCTGTGTCAGTGTATGCTTGTATCTGTGTACCTGTGTATATCTGAGTGTGTGTGCATATCTGTAAGTGTGTTTGTGTCAGTGTGTGTATCTCAAACACCAACACTGTACACAAATACACCCCTACGTTCAAACACCACTAGTGCAAACACTTATCTGCATTAAAAAGGTACACACTACACACAACTGCATTCAACAGTAATGTGCACACATTGACACTTTTGCATTCCAGTGTCAACACTACACACAAACACACCCCTGTATTCAAACTCCAACACTACCCACAATCACTACACACAACTGCATTCAACAGTAATGTGCACACGAGGAGGTAGGCATAGCAGCCACAGGAAGTTAGTGACAGCCAGCATGCTGGGTAGGGCGGAGCCATAAGGGGAGTATTTATACCAGCCATTATATGAAGTGGCCATTTTAACTGAACCTAAGCTTACCTGTCAGTTGTCCCTCCCACCCTCCCTGTATTTGGTTAGGTTAGTTGATTTCCCGTTTTTTCACAGCGGTGGGAATGGCCTGGTTAAATTGGAGGGTAGATGGAGGAGAAAGTGGGCATCCTGAGGTTTAGTGTGGATTGGGCAGTGTTGCACGTGATTGGTAGGTTCGAGCCCGTTGGGGGTTATATGTTGTAGCATTTAGTTGAAAGGCAAAAAATGGGAATGGCCTGGTTAAATTGGAGGGTAGATGGAGGAGAAAGTGGGCATCCTGAGGTTTAGTGTGGATTGGGCAGTGTTGCACGTGATTGGTAGGTTCGAGCCCGTTGGGGGTTATATGTTGTAGCATTTAGTTCTGGGTAGGGCGGAGCCATAAGGGGAGTATTTATACCAGCCATTATATGAAGTGGCCATTTTAACTGAACCTAAGCTTACCTGTCAGTTGTCCCTCCCACCCTCCCTGTATTTGGTTAGGTTAGTTGATTTCCCGTTTTTTCACAGCGGTGGGAATGGCCTGGTTAAATTGGAGGGTAGATGGAGGAGAAAGTGGGCATCCTGAGGTTTAGTGTGGATTGGGCAGTGTTGCACGTGATTGGTAGGTTCGAGCCCGTTGGGGGTTATATGTTGTAGCATTTAGTTGAAAGGCAAAAAATGTACTATTTATATTTTATTTTTTACATGGATAAAAAATGTTTTAACAATTAATTTTTACAGTGGTCAGACTCCTCGGCCCTGTAAGGGTATGTTAGGATAAAATAAACAACCTGGGGGTGTGGTGGTGTCTTGGTACACCCTACACATTGTGGCACCATTTCATTGTTAGCCCAGAGTAATATTTAGAGATAAATACACCTCCAACATGTGATTACATGTCTTGTGACAGTTCCACTTTAATGCACCATATTTAAAGTTAATTATAGAGCACGGTGGGGGATATTGCTGTGAGTACAGGGTCAGGGTTTTAATGCATGGGATGAAAGGTTAACCATAGAAGGTGTGTTGTTTATATATATGTTCATGTAATACTTGGAAATAAATCAAAGATTTCGAGTCACAATGCGATTTATAGAACACTTTAGAGTTGTACTTAGGCCTTAGGTCATGCTATAGGGCTGGTTTTTGGATGGACTTCAGTCTGTATGTGTGAAAGGGTCCATAAAGCATATCCTGGGGGTTTTTGCCACCTAGAAGTGCCCTTGCCTCACCAGTTACCTAAAGAAAGCTGAATGACTATTTTATCCTGAACCCGTGATCAGCAACTGAGGAACAAAAAAAAAAAAAAAGTAAGGCCCCAAATTATAAACAGGGGGCTCAGCTATCAACCTTTGCCCAATATAAAATCTAAAAATTCTTGCTAGTGATTGTGATTTTGTCTAAACCTTGCATCTCATCAATTTTATTTACCATCTTCACTTCAATTTACATTACATTGCTTCAGTAGTTCCATTTACATTATTGGCTTCAAAGTTCTATCATCACCTCATCAGTCCGTATCATTATTCATCCCTATTTATGGGCATCCAATAATATGAAGACTCTTATCAAGCATTCTTCATGAAATTCTTATCTTCACAGCCTGCCATTCATAGAGCTGCTATATAATAAAACTGTTCATTTTCCATGCATGATATTAATTTTTCACACACATCGATGGACAAAAAAATAGAAAAAAAGTTGAGAAGCAACTCATATATCATCTTTTATCAGCAAAAACTTTATTAACCTCTGATTCAAGTCAGGAGACCTGATACATCACCAGAAGAAGACACCAAAACATTTGTTTACCTTTTTGAACAAAGTGGGTTTTATGCCCCTCCAGCGGTCGTTTCCCCTGCCATCATCTGCCAGTTCTGCTGCCTTTGATGACAAAGTATTAAGGGCTAGTGAAAGTGCAGGAAATAACTTCTGCCTTATCGTCTCCTCGGTCACGCATTCAGGGTTTGAATCAATTATACTGCCTGGAGGAATAATGTAATCTTCTCTTTTTCAGACATATTGGCTTAGCACAGTAATGACAATAGTATGTTGCTCAGACTGGAGAAGGAAAAAGGAGACTGAGCCTGTTTGATTTCATTGCAATTTCTCTCACTGGCAGTGGAAATTGGGCGTTCTACGCAAGCTAATATCAAGTTAGACTTTAAATACTTATATTCACTGTATAATTCAGTGCTACTATCATGTTAGATAATTGACTGACTTTGCATTTCTCGTAGAAAAAAAAAGATGTTTATTTTATCCTAACATACCCTTACAGGGCCGAGGAGTCTGACCACTGTAAAAATTAATTGTTAAAACATTTTTTATCCATGTAAAAAATAAAATATAAATAGTAAATTTTTTGCCTTTCAACTAAATGCTACAACATATAAAATTCTTAAATCAGACCCCACAAAAGTATTACTGGAGAAATTGAAATACATCTTACAAAGGGGGCTTAAGGATAATTTAATATCTAAGAAAGAGTATGATTTCATGCTTATAATAAATCCACGTATACCCACATTCTATAGCCTACCTAAAATTCATAAAAAACATCAAGAATTAACAGGGAGGCCTATAGTGTCGGGTAATAATAGCATGACACAAAACATCAGTATTTACTTGGATCATATTTTAAGACCTTTGGTGGTTAAGCTTCCTTCCTACCTAAGAGACACAAAACAAACTTTGTCCCACCTAAATACACTAACTATGTCCACACATTCTATTCTTTGCAGCTTAGATGTAGAATAATTGTACAGTCCGATCCCCCATGCTTTAGGACTAAAGCATACACGCTACTTTCTACAACAGAGGGGTATACATCTTCATAAACACAGCGAATTTGTCATCGAACTATTACAGTTCGTTTTGATGCACAACTTCTTCACCTTTGATGGTATATACTACCACCAGGTGCAGGGTACAGCTATGGGGACGTCTTGTGTGCCCTCATACGCCAACTTGCACCTGGGATGGTGGGAAGAAAAAATTGTGTTTATAGACAATCTGAACGAATTCACTCAATATATTCTCTCTTGGAAGAGATATATCGATGATATCATGATAGTCTGGAGTGGTACTCCTGAAAATTTATCTCGATTTGTACAGCATCTTAACAAGAATGATCTTAATTTAAGATTTACTTTTGAAATGGGGAAACCATCCCTCAGTTTCCTAGACCTCACCTTGACTCCGGAGGCCAATGGCATCATTAAAACTGGCTTCTTTAGGAAAAGTACGGCTACCAATAGCCTATTGAATTGGGGGAGTTATCATCCGACGCCTCTAAAAAGAAGCATACCGACTGGGCAATATTTGCGCCTTAGGCGAAATTGCTCCGATATGGAGGACTTTAAGGTGAGAGCTAAGGAGTTACGTGCAATGTTTAGAGCTAAAGGATACCCCCACAAATGTTTAAAAAGGGCGTACCATAGAGCTCTACTAACTGACCGAGGAGATCTCATCAAGGAAGATTTACCTCCTAAAAATCATACCAACTTCGACTCTAAACAATTGAGATGTATCGCCACTTATGACGCAGGGTGGGAACACGTCAAGAGGATCCTAAATAGATATTGGCCGCTGCTTAGACAAGACGAACATCTTAAAGAGGTAATTTCCCCCAATGCGGCTTTAAAAACATCAAAGATTTTTTAGTACATAGCCACTTTAAACGGTTGTCAACAATTTCGACACACTAGCTGTCTAACAAACTTCTGGGGACTTACAAATGTGGTCGCTGCAAAGCGTGTAACTATATTTGTAAGGACTCAAAAAGGTTTCAAAACAGCTCAAAGTCTGATGTTTTTTTCTTTAATTGTAATACAAAGGGGTTGGTCTATTTGCTAATATGCCAATGCGATAAGTTGTATGTGGGCAAGACATTTAGACCGTTTAAAAGACGGATTTAAGAACAGATTAATTCCGTTAAATCCAATAGACACATTGAAACCTCAGTATCCAGACATGTAAAAAATTTTCATCAAAGTGACCATACGGTACTCAAATTTTTGGGTATTGAACAGGTCAAACTACATCAAAGGAAAGGTAATCTGGATAAACTTCTGAGGAGACGAGAGTGTTTTTGGATATACCGCCTTAACACACTGTCACCAATAGGGTTTAATGAAGGCTTCACTTATTCTCCCTTTATTAGTGATCTCTAAAAGTAGAGTATAACACTATTCTACAAAGTCATAGGGACTGTAACTTTATACTGTGATTCTGGAAATAGTAGTTTCATTCTACACCTTTTTTTGTATTTTGTATTTGAATTACTATATCTTTCTTTTATGGAGATACCTGAAAATTTTTTAAGACTCTTGTTACCCCCCCTTTTATGTCTAACTGTATATGGAGTCCCCACTATGGATTTGTAAACTGAACAGAAGTACATCTTATATTGATACTTATAACATAAAATATGGTCTATTCATTATATACTAAGATAATTGATTTACAGTTGACCATTAGGTTAATTCCTTGGCCATAAGGCTTTTAATTGCATTGTTCTTAATCTGTCTTGTTGATACCTTATACTATTAACAATAGGTTATGTATTGATTAGAGAATGCACATATAGGTATCCTTTGATGCATTGTATAATTTATCTGGTTATAGACTGTCAGATCTGTGTATATAGTATTAGATATAGGCAGGGCATTGCTGTGTAAAGAATCTCTGGCCATTTAAGGGCTATTATTTATTACATGTATGGCTTTATCACTGGAGATAGAAGGAGCTGCCACTGTTTTGTTTGACAGCCCCTCCCCGCTCTGATACCGCCCCCATCCCTTAGGATAGGGGGGTATGATTTAAATTACGTTTCCAGTGGGAGGGTTCCAGTTTTAAGAAGGGATGGCTCTGCTTGCGATCGGCCCGTCCTGCCCCCCACCTGCAACCTGATTGGCTGCACGAGTGACGTGGGGAAAAGAAGAGGGGCCATTGGCAGACAGCGGGACCCGGAAGATCTCCGCCTTCGTCACGCCTCTCCACACATCTGTTAGTGGTTACTGAGGCGATTAGAAGACGATGCGGATTGGCCGGGGGGGGCTTTAAATTCGTGGCAGAAACACAGGTATTTTCATCCCCTGACGAAGGTGCAACTACACGCACCGAAACGCGCGTCAGGTTTTTTGTTTCCTGTTGTTTCACTCACTATGGGAGCACTAGATGTTTAACACCTTTATTCACTTCAATTTTGTAGCTTGGAGTTTTTTCTTTTATTTTTGTGACAAGGGGCAATCTGATAGGTCCTAGCTCTAGTTCTTAGGGACAGCATAGAACACCCTTGAAGGTGTTTTTAGGGATTATAGGGTCCTACTAGCTCAGTATCTCTTTTTTGTTAAATTGTTTCCAAGCTTTTTGCTAGGTGTTATGTGTTAATAGCTGAGATCTTCGAGCTCTTGCTATCAGAAGCTTTCTGGTTTGCAACTACTTGCTATTTCCTAATCCTGTCTATATACTGACAAACTGATTGCTGCCCTATTATTTTCTGAGTATGGGATTTAGATCCTCTAATCGGATTGCTGATTAACTGATTTGGTAATAGGTATAAGGTCTATACCACATTATAGAGACTTAGAGTACCTTCAGATTATTATTATTATTATTATGATATTTATAGAGCGCCGTCAAATTCTGCAGCGCTTTACAATGGGTGGACGAACAGACATGTAGTTGTAACCAGACAAGTTGGACACACAGGAACAGAAGGGGTTGAGGGCCCTGCTGAATGAGCTTACATGCTAGAGGGAGTGGGGTGAGATGGCACAAAAAGGTAAGGATAGTATTAGACTAATGACAGTTGCAGAAGAGGAATCAGTCAGGAGCTATTAACAGTTTAACTGATACGCTTTTATGAAGAAGTGGGTTTTTAACGATTTTTTTGAAGGAATGGAGACTGGGTGAGCATCTAACGGAGGAGGGAAGCGAGTTCCACAGGAACGGTGTAGCCCTCGAGAAATCTTGAAGGCGAGCATCAGAGGTGGGAGTACGGATAGAAGATAGACGTAAGTCTTCAGCAGATCGTAAGGGCCTAGACGGAACATACTTGTGTATAAGGGAGGATAGATAGGTGGGAGCAGCATTATGTAGCGATTTGAAAGCAAGAACCAGAATTTTAAATTGAGCTCTATATTTTATAGGAAGCCAATGTAGGGATTGACAGAAGGGTGAGGCATGGGAGGTGCGGGCGGACAGGAAGATGAGCCTCGCCGCCGCATTCATTATGGACTGTAACGGCGCTAGTTGGTAGCACGTAAGACCACTGAGAAGCAGATTACAGTAGTCAAGGCGAGAAAGAACAGTGGAATGGACCAACACCTTAGTCGCATCTGGCGTTAAGTAGTGGCGGATGCGCGGAATGTTTTTTAGATGGAATGGATTTGGCGATAGATTGAATATGAGGCTTGGAGGAGAGGTCGGAGTCAAAGAGAACACCTAGGCAGCGAGCCTGCGTGGTGGAGCTGATGGTAGCACCGTTGACTTGGAGGGAGACAGACACAGGAGTAATAACACTTGAGGGAGGAAAGACCAGAATTTCAGTTTTGGTCAAGTTTAGTTTAACCCCTTAAGGACACATGACATGTGTGACATGTCATGATTCCCTTTTATTCCAGAAGTTTGGTCCTTAAGCGGTTAAGGAAGTGGGCAGCCATCCAGTTAGAAAGAGCAGAGAGGCAGTCAGAGACACTAGTCAAGAGGGACGGGGTGAGATCAGGAGAGGTAGGTAGTGTCATCTGCATAGAAATTATATTGGAAGCCAAAGGAGCTAATGAGTTTACCAAGGGAGGCAGTATAGATGGAGAACAGTAGGGGACCAAGGACTGAACCTTGGTCGACACCAACAGAGAGGAGTTGGGGAGAAGAAGCAGAGCCAGAGAAACACTGAAAGAGCGCTGGGAGAGGTAGGATGAGCACCAGGAGAGAGCAGTATCTTGTAGACCGATATTGCAGAGGATGAGAAGAAGCTGTTGATGATCAACAGTGTCAAAAGCTGCAGACAGGTCAAGGAGAATTAGGATAGAGTAGTGACCACGAGATTTTGCAGCGAGTAGATCATTGGATACTTTGGTCAGTGCCGTTTCCACAGAGTGCTTAGCGCGGAAACCAGACTGAAGCGGGTCTAGCAGAGAGTTGGACTCGAGGAAGTCTGTCAATCTCGCATACAAATTTTTTCAAGGATCTTGGATGCAAAAGGCAGTAGCAAGATAGGACGATAGTTGGATGGGGAGTTAGGGTCAAGATTGGGCTTCTTTAGAATTGGGGTTACAGTTGCATGTTTGAAGGGTAATGGAAATATACCAGAGGAGAGAGAGAGATTGAGGATTTTATTGAGAGGTGGATAAAGCAAAGAAGACAGAGTACGGATGGGATGCGAGGGAATTGGATCTAGGGAGCAGGTGGTGGGGCGGGAGGACTGGAGCAGAGCAGAAACTTCTTCCAATGTAGCGGGTGCGAATGAACATAGAACAGCAGAGGGAGTGAAGTTAGGGGAAGTATTGTAAGAGGAAGAAGAAAGATGAGATATCTCTTCTCTGATTGTAGAGATCTTGTCAGTGAAGTGAGTTGCAAAGTCTGAGGCGATCAAGTTAGTAGGTGGAGGAGGAACAGCAGGGCAAAGAAGAGAGTTAAATGTGTGAAATAGTCGTTTGGGTTCGCGGGAGAGTGTGGTTATGAGGGTATTGAAGTAATTATCTTTTGCAGAGGAAAGAGCCAAGCTGTATGAGCTCAGCATAAATTTATAGTGGAGAAAGTCAGATCACAGTGAGACTTTCTCCAACAGCGTTCAGCAGTTCTGGAGCATTTTTGGAGGTATCGAGTGAGCTTGGTGTGCCAGGGTTGTTGTTGGGGGGGCCTGCGGCGTTTAAATGTACAAGGTGCCATGATGTCTAGTTGAGAGGAGAGGGTGGAATTGTAGAAGGAGGTTGCAGAACTAGGACAGGTGAGGTTTGAGATAGGTAAAAGGAGAGTTTGGAGATTAGTGGAGAAATGCTCTAGGTCAAGACATTGGAGGTTTCTGTGAGAGAAATATATACCCCCTGCCACTTAGCAATTATCCCAGTTACATAGTGCCTTTAATCTAAATGTACCAATAAAGTATTTATTATTTGATTCTTCATAGGCACATTTTGGGACTAGATGTAATTGCTGTCTGTAGTATATTTTACTAATGCAACTCCAAGCTTATTTCTGGATTGGTTACATACCTTCATAATGTCTTTTTCTGGCTTTGTATAAAACCAGATTTGGAGTTTCATTAGCTTTGGGACTCTATTAGTTATTTATTATTTCTTTAGTTACAACATCGGGCTTAAGCCCTAGGGTGGGGCTGGTACCACCAACTCTGACCGCTGTGTGTCTCTTTTCACTTTCAGTGAAAATTGTTTACACACAGTTCTTTGTATTCTTTTTTTTATCTGTATATGTAATGGTGTTTGTGTGTGTGTGGTGTGTGTGTGTGTGTGTGTGTGTATATATATATATAGATATATGAAATTCTTAACATGCATCTAACATCAAATTATTCTTGACAAAATGTTCCATGCTGCTTAGATACCAGCATAAATTGATGAGATCCATTTTGGATGTTGCACTTAATTGTGTGTGTGGTTTTGTTTCTTCGAAGTGAGTGGTAAAATATTGATCACCATACCTCCTTGTAAACCTTTCCATTTTCTGGCAGCAATTTCTTACTTGTTGCAAAATAAAAGGCAAATCACCTAAATGCAAACATTTGGGAATATGTAGATTATGTGAGCAATCTAGCAATAGATATTTATTTCTCTATTTTTTCATTCACGGGTGAGAATGCTGCTTTGATGATGTGTAAGTGAGGTTACAAAGAGAAGATGGTTCTGTTGAGAACAATGGACCTGAAAGAACGTATGTCATTTAAATGTATCTTGTATGTCTATGATTGTGTTTTGCTACCTACATGTATTTTATCTTAAAAAGCAACAGAAATAGAATCCCCCAGCTTCTTGACTATACGTGTAACCTTATTTAAACATATCTTTAAAATGTAGAATGTTCTGTCATGTCACCAGTGTGACAGATCCATGTTTTTAAATAGGTAGATAAAAGTCATTGGCCAAAACAAAATGGTATTAATGATTTAAAAACTGTGACGTGCAAAACGTGTCTCTGCCACATTGCCAAATTGTTAGATTGCTGTACCTGTCTATTTCTTAAAGAGAAAACCTCACTTCACAGAAGTTTAAATCTGTTTTCTTTTCCCTTATGTTTGTCAAATACATGTTCATGAGATTTGAAAAAGTAAAAGTAAATGCAGAAATCCACACTGCTGTATTTATCTACAACCAGGATTTGAGTGCTTCCATCTTGTTTCCCCGTCAGTCATTGTTACATGCTCTGGCCTGTCAATAAGCGTGGCGAGGGCAATACTAAAGTGTGCTTTTGCTATGCCAGGATTGTATCTGATTGCGATTTCAATAACTAGATATTTGCTTAACATTTAAACGAAATGTTAGACTATCTCATGTTAAAGAGGTTAACTTACGTTACAGGAGATTTTCAATGTTTCCCTTTAAAAAGCAGCTGAGTATCATACACAAACCATAAAACACAAAATATACATCCAACTAGTAAAGTATTGATAGATCCTAAAATAAGAGCATTGACCACTTGATTTATGTTGCCCTAACAGGACTGATTACCATAAAATAATTCTCATCAAATGCTATTCTGTGAATACATACTCGTCACTGTTTTCTTTTTGTTCTGTTCATGTTTTTGCAGTAGTGTGTGATCCCAATACATTCAATTCGATGAACAATGTCCACTGTCAAGTCTGCAACGACATCCGAATTCCATACTACGGAGCAACTACCTGCTAATGTAAATCCCTTGTTATAGTTATGGTTTTGATACTTTTCTTCTTCTTTTTTTTTTTTTTTCTGTATGTTGTTGTTTGTTTCTAATAACACAATAAAATGACATACTGTCAAGATTTAGTTTTCTATGCTTTTGTCTGCTTTTTGTTTTTTATAGTTGCAGGTTGAAGCATTGTGTTCGTACTTGATTGTCTTTGGTATTTATATGTTCTTCCTTGAATGGTTAGAGCCCACGAGTCAAAGGATAAATTATCTCCTGACCCGAGGAGATGGGAACATCCATAATGCAACACTTCAATGTGACTCTCACTTTCTAAACCTACTTCTTGAATCCTCAGTTCTGCTTCTGTCTCGCAGGATGGTGGACTTGTTGAAGCTCTGACTGAAGTAAGAACATGTTTAATTTTTACAAGCCTGAAGTTTATGATGCATGCCTATCGAGAAACACCTGGTCCTACTGCCAAATAATATATGGGTCAGGGGGTTGACAAAGAAGTATTCTCCTAGTATGTTTGATTTTACCTTGCCAGACAACTGGGTAGCCAAAGTCATGTATGTACATAGTGGGGAATCGTGATGCAGAATAAGAACAGAAACCTATCCCACTTACTCCCCTAAATAATGACTGTGGTGATCTTGCCCTTGCCACGAGCTCCTGGAGGAGCCTGCTTGCTAGCCTCCTGCCTCAGGACTATGGGGCATGCTAAAAGGCTATTGAAAGACTGGGTTCGTGGGATTCCCTTGGACTGTTTGGGAACTGAACCAAGCCACGAACAGCGGACCACCTCTTAGCTTATTGACCCTTGTTAACCTCTCCTGACAGTTCTATCAGTGTGGGTTCTAATTTTGTGGCTGGGTGGCCGCTGTTCGTATGCAGGAATGCGTGGGAACTATGTGGCGGCCATCTTGTTCGAGAGAATGCAGGCAGCAGTGTTTGGACGTCGATTGCATGGAACTAAAATTGGACACTGAAACTCACGAACACCACTGAACTTGGACGAACGCCTGCTCCTCCCCACATACGTCAGGAGTGCGCCCTTTGGTAGGTTTGTTTGTATGGTTCATATGAACAAACTCTACCAAAAAGCCAGAATGTGCATTCAGTATTTCTTTCTCTTGGAACTCTCAAAGTTGACCAGCCAAAAGCACAAAACGCCCTGGAACTGTTTTGGGCATAGGACCATATGTGTGTCCGGTTAGAACTTTCACACAGTGGCGTTTCGGCTCTGTTCGTGGTATCTGAGCACTTTTTGGATATGTTGGGCGCTCAGATCCAGCCTATCTGAGGATGTATAGACTGTAGGAGTCCTACGTGGGAAATATGTGTTTTTATGGTTTTTCATATTTGTTACTGTTTTTGCTGAGTCACGATGACAATGCATTATGTGGGTGTGTTTATGGGCGTGTTTTGGGGAGTGTCTACTGAACCAGATTCTGTATAAATGTGAGCCATTTGGCTGGGAATAAAAAGTTCTTCTTCACCCTTCACTAAGTCTGGGCTCCTGTTTGGGTGATACTGCGGTTACCCCTTCAGTAATACCTATAATCACTGGCAGCTATAATCACTCAGGATCTATCACAATTAGGAATGGGCGACCACAAGCAGTAAAAAACCCATCTTCAGTAGGGTATACCTCCACAATGACAGACAATGTAATTTGGATGAAACCGGCCACAGCATTTATTATAACATATAATAAAATACTGCAAAACACATTCATAATTTATTTTAAGCATTATCTTTTCTTAATATAAACAAAATGTCATACATAAATAACCATAACTTAGCATATAGCTTAACACATAGTGTCATACAGTATAACCCAAATGTCCTTGCCAATATACTGACTGTGTGCCTATGCACCACATATTCTCACCTCCCCCTTCGACCATAAATTCCTTTCCTTCCAATGCTTACCACCAGCCGACCTTTTCCTCGCTCGCTTGGTGGGCACGTCCAAACAGGTAACCTAAAGTTAACCCTTTAAAGCAGGGAAGTTTGTGACCTGAAACCTGACCACATTATTCCACATATTCACATAGCCACCCAAAACTGAATTGGCAAGGACACACCCCTGGCTAGCCATGACTATATACAATGAGGCAAGCAGGTGAGAAGCTGTTTGCTGGCCAGAACCCCAAGTGGCACTGAGGTAAGACCATCCCACCACAAAATCACACACCACATAACCCTACCCTAAAAATACATACACAACCAGTCACACGCATTCATCCCACTTTCATACGTGTGCCATTGTCTGCTTAGCTGCGCTATCTCCTCAGGGCCTTGTATGTACGTAGTGAGGAATCGTGATGCAGAATCAGAACAAAAACCTATCCCAATGACCCCCCAAATAATGACAGACAACGTAATTTGGATGAAACAGGCCACAGCATTTATTATAATATATAATAAAATACAGCATAACACATCCATAATTTATTTTAAACATTATCCTTTTTTAGTCTAAACAAAACATCATACATAAATAACCATAACTTAGCATATAGCTTAACACATAGTGTCATACTGTATAACCCAAACATCCTTGCCAGTATAATGACATGTGCATATGCACCACATATTCTCACCTCTCAATTCCTTTAATTCCAATGCTTACCACGAGAGCGACCTTTTCCTTGCTCGGTGGGCACGTCCAAACAGGTGACCTAAAGTTAACCCTTTAGAGCAGGGAAGGTTGAGACCTGAAACTTGACCACATCATTCCACATATTGACATAGCTCCCAAAACTGAATTGTCAAAGACACACCCCCGGCCACAACCCCCCTGTTTTAAGCCTAAAATTAGTAGGGGACCACACCCAAACCACACAAGGTCTGTTCCACCTCTTCCTGCAGCTCAAACTCTGTCAAGTGCACCTGTGCCCCCAAAATAAATTAGCAACTTTCTGCTTAAAAACCTCAATGGCGAACCGGAATCCCCCAAACACCCAAAACAAATTTAGAAACCGTTCTGTTCATTTTCCTATAGTAGCGTTCCATGGCACCCCTACGAGCTCGCTAACAGAAATTACAGAGCAATAACCTCAGACCAAACTAGGCGTTCATCAGGGAATAATACTAAAATACGTGCCAGGTCCCGCCTAATAGCAGACACCAAATCCCAGACAGGCACTGTCCCCAGGTCATTCCCCCCAAGATGGATGACAAGGACCGTGGGAATCCCCAGGAGGCGAGACAGTTCATGCCTCTGGCGCTAAACCACCGAACCTCCACTTCGGAAGGCGTAAAACTCAACAGCTTGCCTCCAGGCCGGACCGCCACACTGCCTCCTGGCACAATAGATATAGAAGTGTCCCATAATCCAAACCCTAGGGGGGACAGGACCTGCAGAGAGAAAATTCAACTCAGGAGACCGGTAGGGCGAACATAAGAAACATAGCACCCTGACTTCCACCTCCCAATTCTCTGAACTACCTGCGCCGGCATGCCAAGCCTAGAGACCTCCGTAGCAGCCCCGATACAGATTAAATGCCCCCCGTACTCCCTGCTATCAATACCTAAGAACTCAAGCCCAAAGCGGAACACCCTAACGAATTGAAAGTGGGAGAGAAATCTTCCGTCCTCGTGAACCAAAAGGGGGCCCGGAGATGCAGGGCGGAGGGAACAATATTCACAAAAGGAAAAAACGGGACAAATTCTGGAACCCGGAACCGCACACAAGTACTTACTTTTTCCAGACATTCGAGTGGCGAATCCTGAAGGAAACACTATCAGCTGTGCAAACAACATCCCAAAAAAGCATGAAGAAATCGCAGAGGGAGACAAACCAGCGGACTTCCAAGCCCCTAGGACAGTGATGGCGAAACGTTTTGAGCCCGAGTGCCCAAACCGCAATACATGCCAACTTTTCTTTCCACAAAGTGCCAACATAGCAATTAAACCTGAATACTGCAGCTTAAGTTTAGAAAAAAACAACTCGTACAGTTGTCCAAACTAATTAACATCTTTTGGGGGGGGGAGGTGGGAGGAACCACGCAGGCAGCCATACCAGGATTGAGGTGAGCATATCGCTCACGAAGCAGCCTGCCACCATCCAGCGCAGCAGCAGCTCTCAGGGATGCCAGAATAGCATTTGTCCTCGACATCCATCCCTCAAGCAGAGTGAACAACAGGCCCAGGACAAACAGGAGCAGACCAAAGACAGGAAGCTGTTTGCTGGCCCGAATCCCAAGTGGCACTTAGGTAAGATCACCCCATCACAAAATCACACACCACACAACCCCACCCCCACATACATAGACAACCAATCACACGCATCCTTCCCCACACTCATACATGTGCCCTTGTCCGCTTAGCTGTGCTATCTCCCCAGGGCCTTATCAAATGAACATAAATGTCATATTAGAAAAACAAACAAGGAACTTTGATGATGAAGCAGACTAACTTGACCTCCTCAGTCTAGGTAACTGCTGTGGATCAAACCATAAATTAGAAGGAAACTCTCTGGGCTTGTCATACATTCTTCTGATAGTTTTCAAATGGTTTAACAAATAAACAAACACAAGTCCAAGGCGCACCATTTGAATGGTACTGCACAGCTAGGGAGTCGCCTGACCACTGCAAAGAAGGCTGTAATGATGATAGTGCTTCAACTATCTCTTTAAAATAATTGTCCTGCAAAAATTCAGATCAGGAATGTGCCTTTTTAGAATGAGATATGTTATTAGCAAACTTAAAATAAGATTTTAGGTGAATACAAAGAGTTTAATACATTGCATTTGTTAAACATGCCATTCGGTACATTCAATGATCCATGCAAATCACTGAGGAACTGTATGTATGCCACGGTCAGGGGTTTATTTACAAAACTAAGAATTGTGATGAGTTTACATCCAGCTAACAAAATTACTGATAAATCAGCATTGTTCGAGTTCAGTAAATAGATGCCATAAGCTGTTGCTATTAAAAGAACACTCCCACCCCAATAACAACTTATGAAATTATTATGGGGCAGCAGCGTCCAGACACTCTTTAAATAGTTTAA